TATTTGCATTGACCCCTTTATTTTATTTGTATTTATTCTTATTTTTTGCACTGAGACTCTTGCACAGGCTCGATGTACACTCACTGGACTAACCACACCCTCACACATACTACACTGACACTCCAACACACACATGCATATTGACACCACACACATATATTCACATTCCTTCACATACACTGCTGCTACTCTCTGTTTACTATCTATGCATAGTCACTTTACCCCTACCTACATGTACATATTACCTAAATTACCTCGACTACACCGTACCCCTGCACATTGACTCGGTACCGGTATCCCTTGTATATAGCCTCATTACTGTTATTTTATTGTGTTACCATTTTTCCTTTAGTTTAGCAAATGTTTTTGACTTACTTTTTAAAAACTCTGCACTGTTGATTAAGGGTTTGTAATTAAGGTTTTCACTGTAAGGTCTACACCAGTTGTATTCGGCGCATTGATTAGAGTTTAGCGCAGTCCCACAGATGGCAGTGTGCTCTCTGAGGCGCTGCAGTAGAATGGTGTGATCTACTGTGTGGAAAGCAGCACTAAGGTCCAAAAGAAGGAGGAGCCAGAGTGGGGTTAGGGTTGGAGGATACAATTTTCTCTCAGATGGTGTTGATTTTAGCCATGAAGAACTCAGCAAATCTGTTGCATTGTTCAGTAGTTGCAGTGGGAGGGCCAGAGTCTGTAGGATGGAGAAGACGACTGATGGTGAAAAACAAAGTCCTGGGATTTCCTCTGTCGTTGTCTATCATGGCAGAGTTGAAGATTGAGTGGGCTGCTTTTAATGCTTTGAAATAACAAGCCTGGTGGTCTTTATAGGCCGGTAGGTGGACAGTTAGGCCAGTACTTCTCCACAGACGCTCTAGCTTGTGGCCATGGGTCTTCATGCTACGCAGCTCCTCTGTGAACCATGGGGAGGACCGTTGGAAGGATACTTGGAACGGTCCTCACCAGAGAGCATGGAAAAAACAGCGGCGGAGAAGATGGCTGCCGTTTTACAGCCCTCTAACCAATTGTACTATTATGTGTGTTTTTCCGCGTTATTTGTAATTTATTTTGTACATAATGTTTCTGCCATCGTCTCTTATAACCAAAAAGAGCTTCTGGATATCAGGACAGCGATTACTCACCTCGTATTGGACGAAGATTTTTTCTTCAACGAGGCGGCCGCGAAGGATATCATACAGACACCCGACAAGGCCCAAATCCCTGTCATTCGCGTGAGGAAGAGACGGAGATATCGTGGACGTAGATCGGGGTGCCTTGTAAGGATCCGACGGCGAGCGAGTAAACGGCCTCTTCCATCAATCCTATTAGCCAACGTTCAATCTTTTGAAAATAAAGTGGACGACTTAAGATTACGGTTATCCTACCAACGGGACATTAAAAACTGTAATATCTTATGTTTCACCGAGTCGTGGCTGAACGACGACAATGATAACATTCAGCTAGCAGGCTATACGCTACATCGGCAGGACAGAACGGCTGACTCCGGTAAGACAAGGGGTGGCGGTCTGTGTATATTTGTAAACAACAGCTGGTGCACAAAATCAAATACTAAGGAAGTCTCGAGGTTTTGCTCGCCTGAGGTAGAGTATCTTATGATAAGCTGTAGACCACACTATTTACCAAGAGAGTTTTCATCTATATTTTTCATAGCTGTCCATAGCTATTTACCACCACAAACCAATGCTGGCATTAAGATTGCACTGAATGAGTTGTACAAGGCCATTAATCAACAGGAAAACGCTCATCCAGATGCAGCGCTCCTAGTGGCCGGGGACTTTAATGCAGGGAAACTTAAATCCGTTCTACCTCATTTCTACCAGCATGTTAAATGTGCAACCAGAGGGAAAAAAACTCTAGACCACCTTTACTCCACACACAGAGACGCATACAAAGCTCTCCCTCGCCCTCCATTTGGCAAATCTGACCATAACTCTATCCTCCTGATTCCTGCTTATAAGCAAAAACTAAAGCAGGAAGCACCAGTGACTCGGTTAATAAAAAAGTGGTCAGATGACGCTGATGCTAAGCTACAGGACTGTTTTGCTAGCACAGACTGGAACATGTTCCGGGATTCTTCAGACAGCATTGAGGAGTACACCACATCAGTCACTGGCTTCATCAAAAAATTCTACAGCTGCACCATCGAGAGCATCCTGACTGGTTGCATCACCGCCTGGTATGGCAACTGCTTGGCCTCCGAGCGCAAGGCACTACAGAGGGTAGTGCGTACGGCCCAGTACATCACTGGGGCAAAGCTTCCTGCCATCCAGGACCTCTATACCAGGCTGTGTCAGAGGAAGGCCCTCAAAATTGTCAAAGACTCCAGTCACCCTAGTCATAGACTGTTCTCTCTGCTACCGCACGGCAAGCGGTACCGGAGTGCCAAGTCTAGGTCCAAAAGACTTCTCAACAGCTTCTACCCCCAAGCCATAAGACTCCTGAACAGCTAATCATGGCTACCCGGACTATTTGCACTTCCCCCCCACCCCATCCTTTTTACGCTGCTGCTACTCTGTTAAGTATTTATGCATAGTCACTTTAACTCTACCCACATGTACATATTACCTCAACTACCTCAACTAGCCGGTGCCCCCGCACATTGACTCTGCAACGGTACCCCCCTGTATATATAGCCTCCCTACTGTCACTTTATTTTACCTCTGCTCTTTTTTTTCTCAACACTTTTTTTGTTGTTGTTTTATTTTTACTTTTTTTGTTTAAAATAAATGCACTGTTGGTTAAGGGCTGTAAGTAAGCATTTCACTGTAATGTCTGCACCTGTTGTATTCGGCGCATGTGACCAATAAAATTTGATTTGATTTGATTTGAAAGGATACATTTTCAGGTGCAAGGCTGTTTAAGTTGTTCTTTAGAGTCCTGTTATACAGGTCAACCATCTCATCAGGGGTAGACTCATGACAGTCAGCTTGTAGGGCAGGGCAAACAGACTCCTGGAAGACGGACGTGTCAAGGGACTTGTTTTTTTATTTAATAGTGCGCTTAGGGCAGAGTTGAAGTGCAGGAGTACTCACAGACATTGTCATGGCCCTATGGTCAGATACACCTATCTCATGTACATCCAGGTCTGAGGCAGGGACTTCTCCAGTGATGATGAGGTCTAAATAGCTGAGGGATGGGGCTGGATAAATATAACCAATTACAATTACTTTGTTTGAAAACAAAGGAGTAAAACAAGCTTATATTTTGGGTTCTGATGGGGTAAGAAAACTGCTCATTAGGGATTTATAAGTCACATTCTTCAATAATCAATGGGTATATATCATGAATTTAAATGTTTTTTTTTTTAAAATCGATGTAGCTCTCGCAGAGTGCCCCTTTAAGGTTTATATAAACATTAGAAAGTCAGATAGTCTGGTATGTATTGAGGCATGATGAAATGGCTTCCTCCACTGACAGATTAAATGGTATATGGGTAATCTACTCAAGGAGAAAAAGCTTCCCAGAGTTGACAGCTGCTGTGGCCACAATAAACACAGTATAGTAACCACTATAACCCAGCTGCTCATGTTTACAATACATTACTTTAGGTAGGGAGTAAGTGTCACTGCTCAGACAGAGGTGAGCTCATACTGTACTACAGAAATCTGCAAAGAGGATGTGAAGTTTACAATCCCCTCTGTATGACTAGCCCATGTATCACAATGAAATATCTGAATGTGATGCAACTGAAAACTGTTGTGTATTCAAACATTAGACAGAAAATAGGGTCTGCTATTATAAAGAAAGGCCTATAGGCTCAGTCTGATTACAGTTCAACTCAGTCCACTGAGAGCTACCCCCACATCTGTAGCATTGCATAACATCTACCTGTGTAACAGCCCCTTAAAGCAGCAATCAGCAGTTGAAACAATAGCAAAGCCCCGTTTTGGTAAAAAGCTGAAGGATGGGGCTCTGCGAAATGTAACCACTCTCAAATTCATAGACAGAGCTATGGATGCAAGGACTGACCATCCATGAGATAAAAATTACAGTTTTTAACCACATTTTAAGTGTTTGTTTACACTTACTAATTTACAAACATTGGAGTAAAACAAGCTTATATTTTGGGTTCTGATGGGGTACAACAGTTGAATCTAGCTCATGAGGCATTTATAAGTTATATTTTTCAAAAATCAATGGGGACATACACTACCAGTCAAAAGTTTGGACACACCTACTCATTCAAGGCGTTTTCTTTATTTTTTACATTGTTGAATTATAGTGAAGACATCAAAACTATGAAAGAATCATATAGTAACCAAAAAAAAGTGTTAAACAAATCAAAATATATTTTATATTTGAGATTCTTCAAAGTAGCCACCCTTTGCCTTGATGACAGCTTTGCACACTCTTGGCATGCTCTCATAACCAGCTTCATGAGGTAGTCACCTGGAATGCATTTCAATTAACAGGTGTGCCTTGTTAAAAGTTAATTTGTGGAATTTATTTCCTTCTTAATGCGTTTGAGCCAATCAGTTGTGTTGTGACAAGGTAGGGGGGTATACAGAAGATAGCCCTATTTGGTAAAAGACCAAAGCCATTTTATGGCAAGGACCGAGTTTGGGAAACCCTGCTCTGAAACCCTGCAGCCACCTGAGCTCAATGTCACCAAGCGCAGCCAGCCATGAATGGGGATGCTGCCCCCATGTGGACAAAAAAGCATATATAAAGCACTCTCTCTTCCACGGCTGTTATTCTCAGCCATGTAGCCTATTTCTCAGAAAAAGAGAGAAAGTGAAAGAGGGACCTCACAATGTTTCACAAAAAGACTGAATTCAGTAAGATGTTAGTGCACTAACTGTAAGTCGCTCTGGATAAGAGCGTCTGCTAAATGTAGTGCAGAATCCTGTAGTAATGTGAATTGTGTTTATGGGATGCGTTTGAATCTGCCCATGACAGGTGAGAGGTAGGTAGTACTATGCTGGTAAAAAGTAGTTGTATGCTTGTGTAGTGGCACTGATAACATGGTGGTGGTATGCTTACATATGATAGTAGTGCTCAAGGCTCTGAGAGCAGAGCCACTCCTGGAAGGCAAAGTCTCGCAGCAGCTGGATGTGAGCCTCTGCGATGTCCCTCCAGCGCCGCTTCTCTCTCACTACGTCCTCCAGACGAGTCAGAATACTCAGGCTCAGCTCCTCCAGAGTCTGCACATCTACACACACAGGCACAGGCAGACACCACAGGCAGACACCACAGGCAGACACCACAGGCAGACACCACAGGCAGACACCACAGGCAGACACCACAGACAAATCAGCCAGAGCAGAGAAGGATCTAGTCTATAGCCTGCCTTATCATAAAGAAATTCACCTCAACATCACCAAAATGAGGCCAAGATAAGAATATACTCATACCTGCAAACAGGCACACCCTAAATCACTGAAACCACAACATCATGAGCTATGGGAAATTACACTAACCTAAAACCAAGACCTCTACCTCTTCAATGGTAGAGGATGAGCTAAAGAATTTCACCCAATGGCTGAACATTCAAAAAAATGTCCTTTGAACTGTGTAGGCTTTTGTACAAACTCCAATGGATGAGCAAATATTAAAGATAATCAATTTCCCTTGTTGTAAAAGAACTGGATTGCTGTGCATCAACTACAAAGTAAATCAATGAAGATGTTACTGTGTTTGGATGCAATCACATTCGCCTCTGGCTCCTTTACATCAGCAATAGTTCAGAGATGCCAAACTGCAACTGTTCCATGTCATTCATAAACACTGGACCATCTCAAAGAGTCTGATATTTTCTCAACTGACCTTCAAATAAGTATTTGAATTCGGAGAGACCGTGGCCTTGAATCCATTCTTCGATCTGATTTTCTTTGCCTTTCTTCCAGCGCACTTCCCAGAAGAAAATCCACGAGACTGAGCAGAAGAGGAAAGTCAGCAAAAAGCGGAGGTCCATCAGACCATCTTCAGCTCTGACTCAGACTCCTCTGCTCTTCACAAAGGCTGGGCCAGGTCCAAAATACTGCACAATAAAATATAAAGTCTCAAATTATGCTCATTCTCCAGCTTCTTCACTTGGAAAGACCTATAGCAACAACAACAAAAACATTACAGGTTTAAGCTGGGCAACTCATGAAAGGTTAGCCTAAACAATGACTAAGACAATTAAACAGTTGTGACCATGCTCATCTTGCAACTCAGACGCTTTCACTATGCAATAGCAGCATAACCAAGAAGACATGCATGAATGTTAATGTCTCACACTAGAGGATAGGACATGTAATCTAGATTACATACGCTTGAACTGGCAAGGTCCACAGTGACAAAAAACACAGACTAAATGTATTGGCAACACCCATAGAAATAGATTGTGTACAAAAACAACATCCCCACAAGATGCATATTTGTTATCAGCCCCCCTAATGATTGGTGTACAAAATTCCCCACCTACTTCCAGACTCCCCACCAACCACCAGTCACCCCCACTTCCTGCAGGGGCGGGACTTCCTTCCCACAAACCTTTACCTAATCAGTGTTGATACATCATAGACTGGTAGTGTGATATGCTAATATATTCCATTCACCTGGATGAGTTACTGAGTAAGTTTGTCAGTGTTCCTTTTGGCGTTGACTTCCTTGGTCAGTGTGATTTGTGTGCCTTTTGTTTGACCACAGTCTTTGTTAGCTTGCCTTAGCCATTACACTAGCATTATCTTTTCATACAGTCCTTTGTTGAGTTACCATACACACACACACATATATATAGTGTTTAGTTACTACTCCTATGTGTTGTACTGATGTAGCCTATTCCTTGTTTTATTTTCAGAAACCATCCACCCAACTGTCATCATAATTCAATAAAAGCTCAAAAGGTTACCCTCTCTTTGTGTTCTTGCAGACACACCGATTGCATTGCCTCCCACACATCCCTTAGTTTCTTTTAGCTAGTTTTCATGGTGCCGAAACCCGGGACGGTAACGCAATGGGGGAGGGAGCAACCAGCTTAGCTTTCCCAGGCCCCGGGCCAGCAACCAGTCCAGCCTTACCAGGCCCAATTCCAACAACCAGCTCAGACTTACCAGGCCCCCTACGCCTACCTTGAGCCGCCAGCCAGCTACCCCCAGCCAAGATGGAAGGGATACCAGTTGCAGGTGGTTCTACAGAAAACAAATTCAGAAAAATATTAAATCCATGTTTTGTACAGAGTAAGATATGCCTCTTGCATGCATGTAGATCTTTGTTTTGGTCGCACTGATGCTCCGTCATCTACTAGTACACGTGGCTGCGTTGCATAGCAATGTCTAGTTCCTGTAAAGATGCTGGGAAACGCTAGATGTGCGGCAGCTAAGATGGCGATGAACCTCCATGTGGTACAAAACATGGATTTAATATCTGAGTTTAAGCTGGTTTTTGTAGAACCACTTGCAACTGGAAACGGACATTTCTAAGATACTTAGTTCTCGATTCAGTTAAAAAAGTATCGCCATGAACAGGTTAGTTTAAAAATCTAAGGCGGTGGTTTGTATGGGGCTTTCCTGTAACGGCCAGTAATGGACACCAAAAATCGTTGGTTATATCACATTGTCTGGGGTACAATCTGCAGCTTGGATGTCGGCCCACCTCCTCAAGCTCAACAAGACAGAGCTGCTCTTCCTCTCGGGGAAGGCCTACCCGCTCAAGACCTCGATCACAGTTGACAACACCACGGTGTCCCCCTCGCAGAGTGCAAAGAACCTTGGCGTGACCCTGGACAACACGTCGTTCTCTGCAAACTCGCTCAAAGCAGTAACACGCTCCTGCAGGATCATGCTCTATGTGATGGCCACTCCAATACCTTGACTTTGTTGTCCTTAAGCCATTTTGCCACAACTTTGGAAGTATGCTTGGGGTCATTGTCCATTTGGAAGACCATTTGCGACCAAGCTTTAACTTCCTGACTGATGTCTTGAGATATTACTTCAATATATCCACAATTTTCCTTCCTCATGATGCCATCTATTTTGTGAAGTGCACAAGTCCCTCCTGTAGCAAAGCACCCCCACAGCATGATGCTGCCACCCCAGTGCTTCACGGTTGGGATGGTGTTCTTCGGCTTGCAAGTACCCCCTTTTTCCTCCAAACATAACGATGGTCATTATGGCCAAACAGTTCTATTTTTGTTTCATCAGACCAGAGGACATTTCTCCAAAAAGTACGATATTTGTCCCCATGTGCAGTTGCAAACCGTAGTCTGGCTTTTTTATGGTGGTTTTGGAGCAGTGGTTTCTTCCTTGCTGAGAGGCCTTTCAGGTTATGTCGATATAGGACTCATTTTACTGTGGATATAGATACTTTTGTACCCGTTTCCTCCAGCATCTTCACAAGGTCCTTTGCCGTTGTTCTGGGATTGATTTGCACTTTTCGCACCAAAGTAACGTCTCCTTCCTGAGCGGTATGACGGTTGCGTGGTCCTATTGTTTGTACAGATGAACGTGGTACCTTCAGGCGTTTGGAAATTGCTCCCAAGGATGAACCAGACTTGTGGAGGTCTACAATTATTTTTCTGAGGTCTTGGCTGATTTATTTTGATTTTCCCATGTTCAAAGAGGCACTGAGTTTGAAGGTAGGCCTTGAAATACATCCACAGGTACACCTCCAATTGACTCAAATGATGTCAATTAGCCTATCAGAAGCTTCTAAAGCCATGACATAATTTTCTGGAATTTTCCAAGCTGTTTAAAGGCACAGTCAACTTATTGTATGTAAACTTCTGACCCACTGGAATTGTGATACAGTGAATTATAAGTGAAATAATCTGTCTGTAAACAATTGTTGGAAAAATTACTTGTGTCATGCACAAAGTAGATGTCCTAACCGACTTGCCAAAACTATAGTTTGGTATGCACTAACTGTAAGTCGCTCTGGATAAGAGCGTCAGCTAAATGACGTAAATGTAAATGTTAACAAGAAATTTGTGGAGTGGTTGAAAAACGAGTTAATGACTCCAACCTAAGTATATGTAAACTTCCGACTTCAACTGTATATCTGACGTATTTAGTTATTACTCCTGTTGTGTTGTACTGATACAGCCTATTCCTTGTGTATTCCCAGAAACCATCCAACTGTCATCCTGATTTAATAAAAGGCTACCCTCTCCTTGTTATTGCAGACACACCCATTGCATTGCCTCCCACACATCCCCTTAGTTTCTTTGTGGTATTTTTTCAGTCGGGGAAACCAAGGGTGAAATGATACCTGCATTGCTTTACATATACACACATACATTTGAATGACAACTAGGTCACGGAAGCTATCTATCAATAAGCTTGTTTGACAGCCTCGGGCAGCATTTCACAGACCTGATAAATCTGGAATGCTGTCAAAGGAAGAAAGTAATCAATATGCCTAGCTATATACTGCCTCCTGGGGTTTACGTGATACGTTACCTGGCTGGTTGGAAAAGTAAGTCGATCAATTAATGAGACAGCAGCAGCTAGCTATGTCGTTAGCTCGCTACTCCATGTGTTTTGAGAGCCATGACTAGATAATAGATCATTATCGACAACCAACGTGATTCATGTTTCTTAGGCTATGCAAACTGGCAGGGATTATAGCCAGCTAGATACAACATCGTAGCTATCGTTAGCTAGCTACACATAACATGTCGCACCATCAATTCAAGTACAGGCTAACTAGCGAGCTTGTTACTGATACTGTAGTTAGCTACCTACGTACGTTAAGCCGTCAATGTCAACGCAAAATAGAAATGTGGTATTCCAAAGCCAAATTCAGTGTTTCAAAACATGTAATAATTCACCCCTCGCATAGCTACGTCAAACATTAAAATACATCAGATACATCAATTTTCATTTCAAGAATAACAGTCCTACCTTGAATGTATTTATCATATTTAACTAACTAGCAGCAACCGGAAGTTGAGATGCGCAGGGAAACAAACGTCGATTGTTGATGACGTTCATACGCAGTCACACGAGGGCTGTAGCCAGATATACAAGTCAGCTGCTGGATTTTTAAAAAACATGGTAAAATCGTACTATAACTGATCAAACTACAATACCATCATTTCAATATATCGTGGTTCTTGATTCAGCTGTTGGAATAATTGAAAATGTGTTTCAGTTGTTGATTGGATTTTGTATGCCTTGTTTTGCGCTGCTAGCTTAGCTAGCTAACAGTAGCCACTTGACTTGAGCTAACTGAAGTGTGAATTATTCTTTATTTCTGACTGTTTTATTTCCATACGTTTACTTTAGGGGAAACAGAAGACCAAGAAGTTTGCTTCAATGAAGAGGATGATAAGCTTGAAAGATCAGAGAATGTGAGTTTCTGCCAATGATTTTAGCTAGTACGAATATGAATGTCATTGGTTTCTGCACAGATTCACACCGTCTATTTTAGCTGACTGATAAACCATGCCAACTTTGTAGATTCGCTAAACGTCAAGCTAACAAGTTGGCATGGATTGTCAGAAATAATGTTGATGGCTAGATAACAAACGTTAGCTTCCTAATTGCTCACACATTCATTTCTTTAGTTTGACTAAGACATACCATCTATCATGATATATTCCAGTTGAGTCCTCATGGTATCGACTCTGTTTCTTTAGAAAAGAGAAAGATCGTGCCAAAGTACAAGAGAAAAAGAAAAAGGATCCATCAGAAATAAAGGAAAAAGAAGTGTAAGTAGCTTCACAAGTAGCCTGGTTGCCATCTCTGTTCAGCTATTAGATTCCACTCCTTGCCACTCCTGTTATTGAATTCCACTCCTGTCATTTGCCAAAGAGACTGGCCTTTAAGCAATCTTCAAATATGAACATTCTATCATTAATGAGCCCGAGGAGATCAGAGGATTTGATCCTGATTTGATAACCCTCACAGCTATCATCCAATCGTGATGTTTATGCAAATTCAACTTAGGAAAACGTTCTAACTTAATTCATACATTTGATTGGAAATATTCTAACATTGGGCGTTCTGCTGTAATACATTTCATTGTAAACATAAACATTGGACGCGGGGAGAACAGAGGATTCCCGTTTTTTTCATTTTTGCCACCAGCCAATGTGATCCCATCACACCAGAGAAGCTCTCGCCATTCAAACTTCTCTGCCTGTTCATTGTGAACGCTGTAGCCTATTTTATATCCAGCAAGCAAGAGCAAGGTACTCTCTTTCCTAGAATGTGTGTGTGTGTGTGTATGTATGTGTATTTATTCATTTGAATTGCTCAAAATAAGCAACCAAACTATATTGCTACTTCTGGGACACACATTGGGCTAGGCTACTAGTTCAAGAGCTATAAGAGGAGAAGAGAGGCCAGTGGAGATGCATGAATTGCGCAAGAAGGGAACAGTGAAGATGTGTAAGTTAGAAGTTTATTAATTGGCTGGGCTATTTATCCACCATTCGTATGCTAGCCTATCTATTAGTCCTAGCCTACTACAGTGAATTTAGGCAGCCACCACATGTGCTAGCAAGCCAGAAACAAAAAAATATTTGTCTGCACATTTTGGCCAATGAATTGAAGTTGAACAGTTTAATTTAAATGTGCAACGAAAAAGTATAGTGACTAGGGCTATTTCATGAAACCCTGACTGTTGACGTAGGCAACAGATCGCAAAGCAGGGATTCCCCACTGAGCTCATTTTTGGAAATGCAAGTTCACTTTCTCATTCATAAACGCATATCAAATGCAAGTGTGTTGTCCAGTAGCTGACATCAGCAGGATGGGGGGCCTTTTCATTAGGATGATAATGGTCCCATTTCCTCAATTTAAATATTAGGCCTATGGGAACACCTACAGTACCAGTCAAAAGTTTGGACACACCTACTCATTCAAGGGTTTTTCTTTATTTTTACTATCTTCTACATTGTAGAATTTTAGTGAAATGAAATAACACATATGGAATCATGTATTAACCAAAAAAGTGTTAAACAAATCAAAATATATTTTAGATTCTTCAAAGTAGCCACCCTTTGCCTTGATGACAGCTTTGCACACTCTTGGCATTCTCTCAACCAGCTTCATGCGGAATGCTTTTCCAACAGTCTTGAAGGTGTTCCCACATATGCTGAGCACTTGTTGGCTGCTTTTCCTTCACTCTGCAGTTCGACTCATCCCAAACCATCACAATTGGGTTGAGTTCGGGTGATTGTGGAGGCCAGGTCATCTGGCGTATCGCTGCAGAATTCCTTGAATTCTAAATCAATCACAAGTGTCACCAGCAAAGCACCATCACACCTCCTCCATGCTTCACGGTCTATTGTCCATTGCTCGTGCTTCTTGGGCCCAAGCAAGTCTCTTCTTCTTATTGGTGTCCTTTAGTAGTGGTTTCTTTGCAGCAATTCGACCATGAAGGCCTGATTCATGAAGTCTCCTCTGAACTGTTGATGTCTTACTTGAACTCTGTGAAGCATTTATTTGGGCTGCAATCTGAGGTGCAGTTAACTCTAGTGAACTTATCCTCTGCAGCAGAGGTAACTCTGGGTCTTACTTTCCTGTGGCGGTCCTCATGAGCCAGTTTCATCATAGCGCTTGATGGTTTTTGCGACTGCACTTGAAGAAACGTTCAAAGTTCTTGAAATGTTCCGTATTGACTGACATTCATGTCTTGGACTGTCGTTTCTCTTTGCATATTTGAGCTTTTCTTGACATAATATGGACTTTGGTCTTTTACCAAATAGGGATATCTTCTGTATACCACCCCTACCTTGTCACAACACAACTGATTGGCTGAAACGCATTAAGAAGGAAAGAAATTCCACAAATTTACTTTTAAGGCACACCTGTTAATTGAAATGCATTCCAGGTGACTACCTCATGAAGCTGGTTGAGAGAATGCCAAGAGTGCGCAAAGCTGTCAAGGCAGAGTGTGGCTACGTTGAAGAATCTCAAATATAACATATATTTTGATTTAACACTTTTTTGGGTTACTACATGCTTCCATATGTGTTATTCCATAGTTTTGATGTCTTCACTATTATTCTACAATGTAGAAAAACCCTGGAATGAGTAGGTGTCCAAACTTTTGACTGGTACTGTATATATTTGGCAGCCAAGTGCGAGTGATCACTGTAGCCTTTCATCTAGACATGATGTTGAAATATATATATTCACACCTAGAATAAAAACCACCAGGCCTCTGTCATAGACTCAATAACCAAAAAAAATAGACAATAAAAGAATGACAGTGGGGAAAACTAATCCTGTGACGATCTTCCTCTGGAATAAGGCACATGCTGGGATGTGATTAATTAATGATTATATAACCAATGTCTAGTAATAGGCCTACTCTAGCTCCCTCCCCCTTCAAACTTTCCTTGTCAGTTAATTTGATAAGCTACATTATTTTAGCATTATGTTTAATGTAGCATAGGCCTACTTTTTGATGGACTACAGCCAAGATTTTGAAGGTGAGCCTAGGTTCTGAATATGTTTTTAGGAAGAAATGTGAATTGTGTGTGTCTGAGATGTGCTGGTGGCTTTGATTGATGGGTCCTTTTACGGTGTCTGTGAGTTCGAATTCTCTATGTCCATTCAGAATGTTTTCTACAGTACCTGTCTGGACTACATCTCTCAATAAGAGCGGAGGGACAAATAATATAACTGAAATGAGCATAACAAAAATGTAAGCAAGTCATGATGATCAGCATATGTACGAGTAATGACGACAGGTGCCAGTTTTGCGTTTCTTTTCTCTCATTAAATACACACACAAACGCAGCTCGATAAAATCTTGTAGGCTAATATTTTCCTTATCATTATTTCTGTCATTACGGAGTCCTCTCTGGCTACTTTGAACAATGGTTGCCGAAAGGCCAGTCTCTTTGGCAAATGCAAGGAGTGGAATGTTAGCTAAAAAGACTGGTACCAAGACTACTTCACAAGTATCAACACAAACAAATGCAAATGTACCCATAACTCTTAACTGATATTCAGAGTATTGTGGACACATGATTGAAGTATAGGTTGATACCTTCCTACTGTGTGTTCACACATTATTTTCCTACCTGCAGTCCAAAATATCCATCATGCCTGTTCTTCCAGTACAACACTCAGCTTGGTCCCCCTTATCACATCCTGGTTGACACCAATTTCATCAACTTCTCCATCAAGGCTAAACTGGACATAGTTCAGTCAATGATGGACTGCCTGTACGCCAAATGTGAGTATCTGGAGTTTATTCAGCGTAAACTCAGTTAATGGAACTAAGCAATAACCGGTGTATTTTTAAATTATACTCTTGCTTGTTATCAAGGTATCCCATGCATCACAGACTGTGTAATGGCTGAGATAGAGAAACTGGGGATGAAGTATCGAGTTGCTCTGAGGTAACTAGCCTGTTGTGAAGACCAACATCCAGATACACCATACACACACGTTCTGAGGGTATTATCAACGTTCCATATGGAAGGTATATGCCGTATACATTGTCTGCCTCTGTAGGATAGCCAAGGATCCTCGGTTCGAACGACTGCCATGCACCCACAAAGGAACATACGCTGATGACTGCTTAGTTCAAAGGGTAACCCAGGTAATGTAGTTTAATCTACTAAATGGACAATGTATTACATTAGGGGAACCCTTTAGCCATTAGAGCACTGTGGTTTTATACCAGAGAAGAACATCAATTAAATAATGTATCTTTCACAGCACAAGTGCTACATCCTGGCAACTGTGGACAGGGACCTGAAGAGAAGGATCAGAAAGATCCCAGGAGTGCCCGTCATGTACATCTCTAACCATAGGTCAGAATTAACATCAGATTATCAGTGTTCAATGGGTAATTTGTGGTTATCACTGTGTTTATAACTAGTTTATATATATCTATCTCTGATCAAATGTCTTATGATCTTTAAACCATGTCGTAAAAATGTATGCGCACATGACTGTAAGTCGCTTTGGATAAAAGCGTCTGCTAAATGGCTTATTATTATTATGTCTAACTTATTATATTTTTCACAGGTTCAACATTGAAAGAATGCCTGATGACTATGGTGCTCCAAGATTTTAATATTCAATTGAAATTCCAGTTGGACTGTGGCTTTTGTCGAAGAGGTTTTGATTTGTTTACCTGCTTATTGTATATTATTAAAGGACTTAAGTTTATGCTCTTTACATTTTTAGCAAAAAGGATGACAGAATAATCATTTTGCAAATTTGGCTGGTGTATTTCTAGTATTCTGAAACTGTTTTTCACTTTGTTCCATAAAAGTGCAAATGCATTCTGCCAAGGTGTGAACATTGCAATAAATTAATGAAAGAAAAGTAAAATGTATCCAGTTTTTTTTTCTATGATAGTGTGAAGAGGTAGGCTATACCTCTTTAATCCTAGAGAGCTATGATAATTTGGAGAGTGCATTTATTATAAACCCTTGCTTTGTGCTGCTTGTAAAGTATCCAAGAATGATGCCAATAAAATCAATTTGCTGTTAAAATGTCTGATAGCGGCCCACTTTTGTGCTGGCATTACAACAAATCTTGCAAACCCTTGCATTTCACAGATTTTCTTCTCATTTGTCTGTAACAGTGTAGGAAATGTAATCCGTCAGCGCATGCGCAGCTGCTATAGATCTGGGAGTGTCCGAGCGGCGCAATATTGTAGCAGGCATGAGATTAGCTCTCGCTGCTCTGTAGCCATGGCCGTTCAAACTGGACTGATTTGGACTGACACGAAAAATATTATGTCGTAAAATGGACTAGACTGGAATGCGGTCACCGACTAAGCGGAGTGTCGAAGAAATGTGATCGTATCCAATCTTTCCCGTCGTTTTGGATATATACTGAATGACCTCTGGAATAACGGTGCCGGGTGTTCGTGGCTTTTAATACAGTAGTTTGCTATCTGTATAATTACACATTTGTAAAATGCTATTTTCCCCCCTTATGTTGTAGGCATAATGTGTATTCATTTCCTAATTGTAGAAGTATTATTTCCCTGTTGGCTGCAAATTCACGCCTTTTCTTGTTTTGATAATCTATTGTCTAGTTTCAGTATTTCAATGATTTACTTGACTTAACCTGCATCGTAGAGATCATTGTGATTTTTCTGAAGTGCCAATAACAATAGCGATCAGACATGACTTGATGTAGGCTAGCTAGAATTTCCTTTAATCTCTGCTTTTGTAAACAAATGTTTTTATTTTTATTGAACTCATCTGACATAAGTGGACAATTGTAACAACTACTGTAGCTTTAACTCTGCATTTGTGTGGAACATATGATTGTGCCATTTTGTTCATAAGTGGTACAGTATTTGAATTTGGAGACTGATACAGCCTGCAGTTTTGCAAAGTTCTACATATCCAGCGTGTCATGAATTGCTCATGTTTCTCACCTTCTGTGGGAGTGTTACTTGCTGAGAAACTGCAATCAGATTGACAGTTAAAGAGCAGGGCGCACAGGCTGCAAACCATCTGTGCCAGGTTCCAGGACTGGGGTCCCTTGTGTGGGGGGATGCTAAGGACCACAGTGGGGTGTGTGGGGGTGGAGGAGAGAGATGAGGATGAAGGTGAAGAGGATTTGCGGGATGGAGGGGTGCCCTTCTTCATAAACAGGGGAGGCCTACCGGTGGATGAGGAGACTTGGGAGCAGATGTGGCGGCATGTGGCCCGGATTCACCCTAATGGTGAGGCCATAGCGATACGCATCCGGGGAGCCAGTGATCTGCCTAAGGTAAGAGCAGGTGAAATCCTCACCTAGACACCCTACTCTGTTGTTTTCAGTTTGACAACTCTACAGGCTACACGCATAGTCTTTTTCAACGATGTGAAAGTAAAAAATAATCAGCTTCCCCCCCCCCCCCCCCAGTAGTATACACAGTTTCAATATGTATCCTAGTCACATTTACCGTAAACCATAATTCAAGATAAACATGCAGTAAACTGTTCAGGAGGTTATATTGTCCCATAACATAGGCCTAGTATATTATGCTACATGCTTAGTTGGATTCACACAGAGATGGAGTGAAGATAACCCACTATGCAGAATGATTGTAACTGACTCAGTTACGACCCTTCAGATAACAAGTGGATGAAGCTGTCAAAATATGCAGCATTTCAAACCACACAGATAAACATGCAGTCATAACATGCCAATAGATGTACCAGTGCTGTGCTGTCCAGATGAGGTTAAATGCTACCTCTGTACTCATAAGGAATTCAATTAATGTAGCATTGTGTAACTTGCTATACAGAACAATTAAGATAATGACCATGGTTTATGTTGCTCATAAAGGATGGTTGTTAAGTTAAACAAGAGGACATTCTCCAGCTCTGTGAATATAGGGATTGTGCGATACTAATGCTTCTGGTTGTGCTCTGCCTCTGCCCCATAGATTCCTACACCGAGTGTGCCTACATACCAGCCAACCACCAGTATCCCACAGCGCCTGGAAGCCATACAGAAATACATCAGGGACTTGCAGTATCCTTTGCCTGGAATGGTAGAACTGCTTGGTCACTATTACCAAGCTCTAACCCAGGTACCCTAGATGAAGCTATGACTATTCATTGGAGTTGTTGTTGGTCATGGTCAGTTTCTGTATGATTGACAGGTTGGGATATACAGTCTAGATAACAGTTTAGGTCAAGACCAGACTTGTCTCCATTTCAACAAAATATATAGTAGGTTGATTAAACATGAATTAATGTGTAAATATGTTCAATTCCATGCCTGATGCTAGGACACTATGCTTTGGATTGGAATTCAACATGTCTCTTGAAATATGTGTTAGCCATGCACTCTATGTATTTATAAATAATTCATAGATATAGGCACAAGCTGATGTCATGCAAACTGGGCCACACAGTAGATAGTATGAAAAATGTATGCACTCACTAACTGTAAGTCGCTCTGGATAAGAGCGTCTGCTAAATGACTAAAATGTAAAATGATGTCATGAAGAAGATTATGGTGATTGGTAACTCACTGAGGTCCTTTGTAGCCTAGTTGGTAGCATGGCGCTTGTAACACCAGGGTAGTGGGTATGATTCCCTGGACCACCCATACGTAAAATGTCTGCAAGCATGACTGTAAGTCGCTTTGGATAAAAGTGTCTGCTAAATGGCATATATATATATATATATATATATATATATATATATATATATATATATATATATATATATATATATATATATATATATATATATATATATATATATATATATATATATATGAGCAGTAAAATAGTTCATAAGTATTTATAGTTGTCTGACTCGTTCATTCTTTTAGTACAATATCAATGTATGCCACAACATCTCAGAATGTAGGCCATATTTAGACTATAACATATTTTGAGCATAAACATTAGTAGCTCTCAGCTCAAAAAGCTCATCCATAATTCACAAACGAGGAACTATGAATATCAGAAAGCACTTAACGTGGTTCATTCCCCATGAGAATACGTTTAGTGCACATTTCCCATATTGTTTCACTCCCTCTGCATTTGTATGTACACTGAACAAAAATAGAAACGCAACATGTGAAGTGTTGGTCCCATGTTTCATGAGCTGAAATAAAAGATCCCAGAAAGTTGCCATACGCATAAAAAGCTTATTTCTCACATTTGTTTACATCCCAGTTAGTAAGCATTTCTCCTTTGCCAAGATAATCCATCCACCTGACAGGTGAGGCATATAAAGAAGCTAATTAAATAGCATTATCATTACATAGGTGCACCTTGTGCTGGGGACAATAAAAAGCCACTGTAAAATGTGCAGTTTTGTCACAGAACACAATGCCACAGATGTCTCAAGTTTTGAGGGAGTGTGCAATTGGCATGCTGACTGCAGGAATGTCCACCAGAGCTGTTTCCAGGCATATGTTATGGACAACAAACACAATTGCATACTATCGATGGCAATTTGAATGCACAGAAATACCGTGATGAGATCCTGAGGACCATTGTGAGGCCTATTTTTTTTTTTTTAAAGGTATCTGTCCAACAGACTCATATCTGTATTCCCAGTCATGTAAAATCCATATAATATTAGGGCCTAATGAATTTATTTCAATTGACTGATTTCGTCATATAAACTGTAACTCAGTAAAATCTTTGAAATTGTTGCATGTTGCATTTATATTTTTGTTCAGTGTACTTAACAATATCCTACAGGTACAATCACACGGGAACACAGTTTTTTGAAATCAAGAAGAGCAGGCCTCTTACTGCGTAAGTTTCACAGTCTCTTCTATCCCATTCCTGTTTCCTAATCTTTTGTTTTAGGTTAGCTCTTAGATCAGTGGATCATGGCCTTGTAGGGATATTGTAAATGTCAGACAGTAAGCAACATGACCGCTACCTGCCAGAGAGAATCTCAGGGTTTGGTGAAATAGCTTTTCCTGGGACCGCAGAGAGGCCACAGAGGCAGCAGACAGAGGAAGTAGCTGAGCATGTTTACCAATTGCTTTCATATTGTGCTGATCATGACAGAAGCTGAAGGAATTGGATATCTGGATCAGCTGTATGTCTGTTGCCCCAAGGGCTTTGCGACCAGAAACTGTTTTCTGTTTCCCAGGCAGAAGCTTCTAATGCATTTTGCTTACTCACCCTCAGTTCATGACATTTAGCACCAGATGGTTTTATTTCAGTGTCTCATGCAAAATGCCAGTTTTAATAATCAAATGTATTTATTTTTCCTAAAGAAGTTAGTCATTTTCCTTATGCATGCACAAAGATAACCTGTAATATGTACAAATGTATTTCAGGCAATTTAGAATCCATGTTTAGAATTGCTACCTTTTAGAGTAGACTATTTTGTTGCCTTGCCTTTGGGTGTTCTAACCCTTATATTCTGTGAAGGTTGATGGACATTGCCAAGGAGATGACCCGGGAGTCACTGCCAATCAAGTGTCTGGAGGCAGTGATCCTCGGGATGTATCCTTTCTTTAAATAGCTTAGGTGTTCCATGTGAAAACTGTAATGACTTTCTTATGCCACTGTTGTTACCTGCACATAAACAATTTTCTCATCTAGTACACTCAGCAGCTCGAGATTTGTCAATGGGGGGATAAATGATGACCTGGAAATGTGAGTGCTTGTGGGAAGCAAAAAAATAACCTGGAGTGATGCCTCAGAGTGTGGTAACAGGGATTTAGAGACAAAGCTTTATGGGCACAACCAGGGCATCCAAGTATTATGTGATTAGAACTGACTAGCGTGCTTACAGTCTGAGACTACTGTATGCAAACTAATGTATTCTTGTCTTAAAAACAGATCAGTGGAGCTTGAAAACTATTGTTGTTTATGTTACCCTGTGAAGGGGCACTCCAATTGGAGCATGCAACCAGGGTTAGTGATAATAAGGTTTTTCGATGTCCTTGACCTTACCTGTCCCAGTTACCTTACCAACAGCATGCCGGGTGTGGAGCGCTTCCCCCTCAGCTTTAAGACGCAGTTCTCAGGGAACCACTTCTGCCACATTGTGCTGGGGGTGCACAGCGGGGGCCGCTTCGGGGCGCTGGGCATCAGCCGGCGGGAGGACCTCATGTTCAAACCCCTGGAGTTCCGCACGCTGGCTGACCTGGTGCAGGAGTTTGAGGGGGCCTACAGGGGCTACTGGCATACCCTGAGGAAGGTGAAGATTGGTCAGTATGTGTCCCATGACCCCCACAGTGTGGAGCAGATAGACTGGAAACACTCCATCCTAGATGTGGATAAGCTGACCAAGGAGGAGCTGCGGAGAGAGCTGGAGAGACACACCCGGGACATGAGGCTTAAGGTACACAGAGACCCTGTGTTAGAGACTGCAGGAATGTGATTGGATGTATAGAACTAGGGCAGGACATGTGCACACATCTGGGGACTGAGATGGAAAAATGTCCATGAACTAAACCATGTTAGGGATCCATGAAACAAACCTGTCAGCTTCCTAATTAGAGGATTCTAGTGATTGCGTTCGATCCAACTGGCACTGAACTCCTAGTAGACTTCTACAGTACCAGTACAGAATTTAGATTAGTGTCAAATTAAATTGGGATACATCTGAGCGCCATATGTTTCTGATTCATGTGAGGGTAAAGCACCAGGGGAATTTGAATGTGAATCCATCCTGAGCAGATGGAAAGCCCCTCTTACTCTGAGATTCTGACTCCTTTTGACCCTCTGTCTCATCATGCATGATGACATGGAGTTGACCTGCCATTTCAGGAGCTATCATCCGCAAATGATGATCTCTCATGCGCTATCATCCCAAACAGTAATGAAAGGATCCTTAATGCAGGGCCCTGTGTATAATATAACTAATGGGATGGCTTTGCTCTGCTCGGTTGTGCGTCACGTATGGCTGCCTCTATCAATCAATGGCTGATCTTTTATAGAGCTGGACTCACAATCACATTAAAGATGGAGGATTTTACCATCATCACTGTGCCTCCTTCAGCACGTTAGGGCCTCTCATTGAGCAGCTCACCTTAGGACTACTCTAAGTAATTGAAAGCTGATGATCAGTGTTTGTTTGCTACTGACTTTCCTTCCACCTCGCTACTCTGCATTTATTGATGTGCTGTATTTTGAAAGACAAATGTTTAGTAATTGGAGTCTTACTTGAACTGCACTTCTCCTTAGTCTGTACAGAGGATATGACCATAACTGTTTGTGTACCTCTTGTTTGTATTGCCCCTTGTTGTTAATGTGAGGTAAACAGAACTGTGTGATTGTCTTTCAGATTGGGAAGGCTGCGCCCCCTTCGCCCACCAAAGACAGGAAGAGTAACATGGGCTCGCCCCTCCGTAACCCGGGCAGCCCCATGCGCAGGAACAGCCGCATCGAGAGACGGTAATGCTGATTGTGCACTGTAGTCAGATATCAGGAGATGCTTAGTCTCACTATAGTCTCTCTGACAGCACAGTAAATACTCATTAGGTCAATAAACAAGGTGCTAGCTGTAGTGGAGAGTGCTCTGCACTGATCTGAACAAGCGCTAGAGGCTAGATGTCCTATGACATAGTCCAAGAGGAATCTCTGAACAGTAATCTTTCAGTTTTAATCTGTGTCATGAGAAGTCATATCTTTTTTTCTTTTTTGGGGGGTGTACAGTCCATCAGGAGAGAAGAAAGTTCTTGATCCGAAGTCACCTCCAGACATGAATGGATATCAGATTCGAGTGTGAGGAAGATTTCACTTCATAAAATCATCCTGCAAAACAAGACCGTAGAATGGTAGGGTTCTGTCCAACAAAAGGTTAGTTCTGGGGAATGGGCTTTTGTGTTCATATTCGAAATAGGTTTGTACTGTGTAAGCAATTAATTTAGGGTATTTTGCATTCAATAAACGTGGGGTATACTGTACAGAGCATGGCCATGTCAATAACTGATTATTGACTAAATGTAAGTTAAAAGCCTATAATTCTAAGTTCTCACAATGCTCAACTTAGGGGATATCAAACACTTGTTTTACACAGCCAAATCCATTTCAATTAACGGGCCTAACTGTTTGGCCTATTCACAAGATCTCTTTGAAAAATAGATTAAGTCCCCCGCAACTTCTTTCCAAAATCGTGGCATGGGCCATTCATCTGCCCTGTGGTTCTTTGTTGCTACCAGGCTTTTGTAAAGCCAGAAGCTTGGTAGTGTAGTACATTCTACAATAGGATTGGTTCAGACAGCATTTAAGGGTCAAACAGGCATTGATCATGTTTATAAAGATGCAGGGTTTTGTTAATATGCAATATTACATTTGGCTTATTTCTTAACATGTAAAGTTGTGCAATTGGACATATCATAGAAGAGATCCATGTTGTCAATCAGTTATTAAGAATAACAATTATTTTGAGGATTATGTGCAATCTGTGTCTCCATGTCGTACTGTAAGTGTGTAAATACATTGAACCTTTAACCTTTTAGCTCTGCTGGACAGTAACTGCTTTGTAGTGACTAGTTTGCGATCCACTTACCTTGTGCCTTTTATGAACATTTTAATGGACAGTGATAAAGAAAACGAGTATTACTGGGTGAATAGTTTTTTCAATTTCACTAGGAAAATACACTGTACAATCCATCTACTCTATCCCAAATAGCCGGTAAACTGAGCTATTTACACCTTACCCTGTGTTTGTGTGTTCTGCTATGGAGATGATGCATGTGATTGAATATGGGGTAATTCAGTGTACAGTAGTCTATTTAAACATTTCAAAGCATGAGAAGTGTGATATGTTTTAGGATAGTAAGAGAAAGTGGTCAACAGAATTTTTGAATTCTATGGTCACTCACAAGACAAAATCTCACACTCTCACAAAATGACTGTGCAACTCAGAGCGAATGGTGAAGTTGCAGCTGATATGGTTTGACCTTATTTTTGAGGAAATTGAGACATTTTGAAGGCAGCAGTTACTTTTTATATTGACATTGTCTGATATATTTTAGCCTTCGTACAGTATAAATAACATTATTCTTATTATCTTAACACATAGCCTTAGTGTGGTTGTCTAGCTATATTTAATATTTACCATTTTTATTAAAGGTGCAAAGAGATTTGTTTACAATATTCTCATCTGCATTTTTAAATGACATTTAGGCCAGAGCACTTGAGAAATTGGAGTCTGCACCATTTTTGAAAATATTACCACAGAGCACATTGATTGGTTGGGATTCCTTGAGTCCTCTTTCATTTCGACACCATAAACAAAGAGGTTGTTGTCTTGCACCAAAAGGTGAATTACCTTTTATCACGTAGTAAGACTTTCTATTGATTTAGAAATAAACTCTCCTCCCCAATTCATCTGTTGTGTTGATTTAGCTGATTTATGTCATGGGTCAGATGGCTGTGAGTTTATTAGAGCTTCAGCTACATTAAGAGATCTACAGAATGCAACAATGGATCAAATGTAGAGCTAAAATCAATGAATACAGTAATTAAACAGGGTGCTGAGGACATGGAGGGCACACTGCCAGTCTACATGCCAACCAAGAGTCCAAATTGGGCACAGTGTGCACTCATCTGAAAGACCTCTGCCACACAGCGACGGACAATACAAAGAATAGACGACGAGCAACAAACATTTCCACCTTTGATTGTCTACAAAGAAACCTTAATACAAATCCCATACTGAGGATCTGTGCACTGGGGGACTATACATTTATAAGACAATGAACAAAGACATCTGGTTGCAGCTACACTAATTAGAATAACATTTTCTGTATCTTCTCTGTTGCCTGCTGGTACACTGTGAGAACTCCTAGCCAATTTTGGCCTTCAAGACATCCTTAACTGTAAATCACAGCGGGGTTTTTATTTACTATTTTTCACTGCAATTTAGTGTTTTTGTTCCTTAGTGCAAAGATGATGTGTGATGACATCACTGAGATTTTATCTAAGGTGGAATAACAAGAAATATTGTAACCAGAAATCACCTGTACGGCTTTGTGACACTTGAAACTGAAATAAACAAGCAACTGGTATTTGACTAGATTTGTTGAAAACAAATGGTGTAACATTGAGTGATTATCCTACCTCTTTTCCCATTCAGCAATTATTATTATTTTTGTACTGTGCTGGCTGTGTCTGCAGTGCACTGTACTGACACCTAGGGATCCTGCTGCACATAATCAATTAAGTCTAATGGAAGCCTCACTGGATGGATAGTCTACCTGACAGCACTGCAATCGGCTAACAAGGCTTAACTAATGAATTGCTGCCAACCTGACATATTTCATCATATCATAGGAGCACAGAGGACTGCCATGGTTGCTGCTCTCCTGAACACCCAGCCTCTCTCTAACAGGGGAAATCCATACATGAGGTACTGTTTTGTGTTCAGACCAGGGAGAGATGGCAAGACTTTGAGAGCTCTCATACAGCACAAGAGTACTGGTGACTGTTCTCTTACAAAATAGCTCCTGTTAGTGTAAGTTATAGCTGAATGAACATAATGTAGGTATGGCGTGTGAAATGTGTTTTAAGAAGTATGGTGCAAGTGCTTTAAGGAATCACAGCTGATGTTGAAGTCAGTTTGTTAAGTGGGGGTGATGTTGGTAATGTTCAGTGGAAAGAATGATGGAGAATGATTTCAAAGATGAAGGCACTGCGGGAGCCAAAACATAACTCCCGTCTTATCTGAAAGTAGATCCCAGGAGTACCTCCCCCACCTTATCTCCTTAGCACTCTTTATGAAATTAAAAGACAGAAGGAATAGTGGCCTACTTTTAAAAACCTACTGACCCATTTCTCCTCAGCGGGTGTGTTTGGTGCCACAGGGGGAATCTCTGTTTGAGCAGCACAGTCCAACTCCTCTACAGGTTTCAAGGTAAATCCAGGAACTGAATTACCACACTCGGAACACCATGCCCAAGGTATTTATTCTACTCATATGAACTGATGTTTATAACTCTTTCAGTGATTGATTGTAATGAGATACAGAAAATACTTCCCTGGAAGTCCTGGTAGAGAAAACATCTACTGATTTATTGTAGGTAAGCTTAAGTGTCAGACCTTGACATTGTGTCATTCCAGTGAGATATAACTGGAGGTCTTAGTGGTGACAGGAGTCCGTTAGCTGGTCCTCTAGACCAGGGGTTCCCAAACCTTTTCACTCGGGGTCCTCCTTCCAGCATTGGGGAACATCCCGTGAGACTTTTGCAGGTTTAAAGCTTATTTTCTGCAATTCTACACATTTTGTCATTGGTTGCAAATAAAATGTTGCAGTTTTAAAGCTAATTTTCTTGCAATTCTATACATTTTGCCATGTCTAATGTGTATTCCTGTGATATTTGAGTGACAAAAAAATTACAACAATATCTATGGGCTAAAAAAAACTAAATAAAAATACATTAGCTGACATGGGCTTGTTGATCTGGATTTTTCTGACAAGTTATAAATACGGTAGCTCTCGAAGGTATGCAATGACTAACATGACAAGAGTAACTGATGATGCACCTTGTGCATACCCCCACACCCCCCTGCCGACCCCTCGCACCCCCCACAGTTTGGGAACCACTGCTCTAGACTGCAGTGTACACACACAGAAGCCCCGACTGTGCCCTATCATGCATGAACGCTCCCTCCCTGCAATCTGAATGAATAATTCATTCATGCCTCAGCCAGCCACACATCTTCTCCCTTACAGACAGTGCCTCGCTGGAGTGAGAGATCTCCCATATTAGTGGGACACTGCCAACATTCAGGTCACAATCTTAAAGGTCCAATGCAGCCGGTTTTATCTCAGTACCTTACTGTGTTTGTTTTCAATGGTCAAAAATAGCTTCTTAGCAAAGAGCAATTTCTCAAGCAAGCATTTTGCTAGGACTGCCTGGGAGGGGAAAACTGAAAACCAGCTGTTTTTGGCAGAGAGGTTTGGAACTCTTTCTTATGGTCTATCTATGAACTAATTTACAGCCTGGTGATGCCACCTGGCAGGCCAACACTCCATCCCACCTAAACAGAAAAAAATGTCAGCTCTTACACTAAAAGGGCATTATCATTTTCACAATTTCACAGTATAACCTCATAGTGTGGAAATATACACAGTTTATTAGGTACACCACCCCATTCACAAAAATGGTTCGCGCAGGCAGGCATAAAAGCAGGCAGAAAGGCATCGAGGCATTCAGTTACTGTTTGATTGAACGTTAGAATGGGCAAGACGAATGACCTAAGCGACTTTGAACGTGGTATGATCGTCGGTGCCAGGCGCACCGGTTCCCACACTGAGTTCCACTCCTATCAGTTAAAAACAAGAAGAAGCGGCTCCAGTGGGCACGCGATCCCCAACACTGGACAATTGAGGAGTGGAAAATATTGCCTGGTCCGACGAATCCCGTTTCCTGTTGCGTTATGCTGATGGCAGAGTCAGGATTTGGCGTAAGCAACTTGAGTCCATGGCCCCATTCTGCCTGGTGTCAACAGTACAGGCTGGTGGTGGTGGTGTAATGGTGTGGGGAATGTTTTCCTGGCACATGTTAGGTCCCTTGATATCAAATGAGCAACGTTACCATGCCCGAATAATTCAGGTTGTTCTGGAGGCATAGGGGGGTCCGACCTGGTACTAGATGGGTGTACCTAATAAACTGGTGTATATGAAACACAGGAAAATCAAATTTTTGACTGCACTGGACCTTTAACATAATCTCAGCCAGGATAGACAGGAGAGGATGTAGATCTTCCCAAAAAGACTGCCAAACTGATGTTGTTATATGGAAAATATTTATTCAATATTTCTACCATTTGAAAAAGAAAACAATGACTGGCCCATAAGGGACAAAACACACCACATCATCAAACACAGTCTGTAAAGGTTTGAATATTCTAATTTACAAGTGTAGCAGATTGTGAACAAACTGAGTAAACTAAATCCCCAAACAAAATATCAACTTTTAAAATCCAAACGCTTCATGCATTCAAATCTCAACAGTAAGAGAATTTGTCAAATAAATTCCAACTCTTAACTGAATTTAACCTTGGTTAGTTTTTTCTCTCTATTCATGTAAACAAAAATGATTCTTCAGAGGACATCCCATCCCCCCTGGACATTGGGATGAGTCGTTTTTCTTCAGGTAGGAAACAACCCTGTGAGCCCCAGGAACCAATTAAGTACAATTATTAACTTTTAAACATGGAATCACACCATGGGCAAATCATGTACAGTTTGAACAACATTTTTTAAATGATTGACTTCGGTCCTCCTGATTTATTAATTGACCACAGACAGCCCAAATCACACAGGGTCCAGCTGGAACCTGGCCAGGAGACTGAGGTGGTCCGAAGGGAACATTTCATTGGGTAAACTCTTAATTGACCAGAGATCCTCCTCTAATAGGAGGGAGCAGCTTCAAACCTCCGCTCTGCCGTTGACCTCCACCTGAAACAACTTTTTTGGTAAGCCATAGCTCAATTCTTCTTTCTCTATATACTAACTAGACTGGAGGTCAATATCAAAGGCTATTTATATAATTATTTTGGATACATGCCCCTTACCTTTCTGATCAGCACCAGAATTGCCACGCCTTGGAGAGTAGAAGATGTAGTCGACCGTAGCTCCATCCTCAGAGTGCATGGTGGTCACCTCAGCTCAGTCTGTTCCAGGGATGAAGTGTCCGTAGGCTGACCGCAGGTTTAGGTAGTGGGAGATAGTCTGTCTGAACATGAGGAAGGACATGGACAATGTTATTACATTTAACATGTATTCAGGACTGTGATATAAATATAAACATAGCAAGGGGCAAAAATGTGGCCCTTTGGAAAAAAAACAAAAGCTGACCTTGATGCAGAAGGATGCTTGTCCTCAGGATCTATTGGAAATAAGTGAAAGAGTAACATACAGAAGTCATTACTAAAGTGGAAGTGACAGCATTTTAGCAACATGAAGTCCTATTAAAATCTGTTCATATACTGTACACCCCCAAGAAGAATTTTACACCTTTTTTAAAATTTTTATCTGACAAGCGAGCACTTAGATAAAGTTTTCATAAGTTCATAGAATGTTTGGGAATTACGTATAGTAAGGCATTTGTGAAAATTCTAGAACAATATAGAGTGGGAAAGCGACCGTGCGTTTGGAAAATTAATAGACACTGCAGTAAATAAAACCTAATAAAAGCATCCGTCTTGTCCAAGACCACCAGAGTCTATGCAGACCGGTGCGCCATAGCCAATCAGAGCTACAGTAGGCCTATATGCAAATAAGCCATTTGCCACACGGGCCTGCCATCATTCACTTTGAACTGGACTGTGTGTTTACAGGCAGAAGCAACAGCGCGACTTTAGATTAGAATGCATTCACCAAAAGCCACAAAATACACATTAATGGATTTCTGCAAATATGTAAATACCACAGGAGTCCTCTTACATTTGAGAACTTCACGGCCCTATTGATCAAACAACCATGTAAAGGTAGGCTCTCTCTCCCTAGGTTTCCTATGCACATCAACAACAACAAGATCAACAACTAATGCTAGCCAGAGCAAGATGAGCTCAAATCTAAAAGAGGAACATTATTAGATAAACCCTCTCAAACTTTTTTCAGCTAGTTGGCCATCAGAATTGCACTGATAAACGATGGGGAATCGTAGCCTACTCATCCTTCTGCAGTTTGCCTGCCAATGCATGCTTCAACGACGTTTTGACAACTGAATGTGAACTTGCCTTTCTGCCCGCCCATTTGATTGATGCCAAATACATAACTGTGGATAACAGTCGTTCAAGTTCAGCATAGCTAGCTAGCAAAGCGATTCACATTTCTTGCTAGCTAACCAAATTACACCGCAATCTCTAGCTGTTGCCACCGGAAAACGATATGAGGTGAAAAAGTCAGCCACTCCCCCCAATGACATGACATCCTCCCAGCTAACATTAGGTTCTGTGTTTTTAGCTCGCTAAATAAATCGATACCATAGCCCAGGGGTGTCAAGCTCAATCAGCGCACAGACCATATTGAAAAAACACAACGAATTTGCGGGCCAGACATAGCCGGTTTGTTTTTACAAAAAAACATGCAACTGCGACCCAAATTGAAAAAAATATGGCCCTTTATAATGTCCACGTACGTACATAGGATGCTGTATATAGCATTTTAACATATTAAACAAAATAGATAAATAATATTTGTCCAGCCTTTGCTGCTATGCTTGCAGATGTGCATAATATGCTGCGACTATAATCAACAAGTATTTAATAACTCAAAATAACAAAAATGTAGCTATAGGTTGTTGTAACATTTTAAACTTAAAACATGTTTTTAATTTCTTTGCACTGCATGGATCACCGATGCGGTTGAATGCAGCATTGTTGTATGGTGCACTCTTAATTTTTTATTTTATTTTTATTTAACCAGGTAAGCCAGTTGAGAACAAGTTCTCATTTACAACTGCGACCTGGCCAAGATAAAGCAAAGCAGTGCGATAAAAACAACAACACAGAGTTACATATGGGGTAAACATAAAGTCAAAAATACAACAGAAAATAGAAAATATATATACAGTGTGTGCAAATGTAGCAAGTTATGCAGGTAAGGCAATAAATAGGCCATAGTGCAAAATAATTACAATTAGTATTAACACTGGAATGATAGATGTGCAAGAGATGATGTGCAAATAGAGATACTGGGGTACAAATGAGCAAAATAAATAACAATATGGGGATGAGGTAGTTGAGCAGCCAGCCTACTGCTCAAATGTTGCTGTAATAGGCCTACATGTTTCTCCTTTGCATAGTGTTTTGTTGCAGGTTTAGTTTTTTGGTTATTCATTGTCAAGCTTTAAAATCCGAAGCCAGAGTGCAACATTTTAGTAGCCTAGCTAGGACTGTGGCATGTCTGTACACTTTCCCTCCGCTGTAAATGGGACACACAAAAGCAGCGCAATTGAAATTGAATTCACCGACGTGAGCACATCAGGCTGTAATTTCATAAAGTAGATGACTCAACTGTTGACTCATTTATTCTCGCTTGTGACTTGTAGTGCAGCGCGTCGCGGGCAGTATGGAAGCTGGCCAAAATGAATTGAAATGTGTCACGCCTTGTTTGACAAGTGCACTAGCCTATTAGCCCCGTTATGACTGACTTGTGATCATTGCTGTTGCTAGTTTGATTGTATTAACATTCCCAGCCTTAGTTACAATTGTCTGTTTTTGTTCAAAATATTGAGACATTGAAACTGAAACAGTGCATCCTGAATGGGTGGAGGCAGCAAACAATGTACCAGGCCAGCTGTGATTTACAACCTGATATAAAAAAATTTTGGATGACCAAGAAATGTATTGGTGAATTATATTAATCATGTATTGAACTGCATCCATCTATTCTGCCAACAATGCCTTACTGTACGTCATGGAATTTTCAGTGAAATATAACCTATTTTTAAAACTTGTATAAAGTTGGTATTGAAGCATAAACTGGGAATATGGTATTTTTGACTGATATTATGATTGTCTGTTTGTTTCATATCTGCAAAGTAGTTAAAATGCTATCAGTTCCACTTTAACTGTTCTCTACACAACTGTGCTCTGGAATCTCACCTGCTGTGAGTACAGTTGAGATTAAGTGTTTTAGTAGTAGTGTGTTTTACTGTGTGTGTGTGTGAGTGTGTGTGTGTGTGTGTTACCAGGTTGTTGTCATTGACCCTTGGGATGAGCTCCAGTTCCTGTGGCCGGACACAGACAGCCTCACAAAAACGCAGCTGATTGAGGAAGTCATGGTTGTACTGCAGGTTCCCTACACAGGAAGAACAAATATAGAGTCCAGAGTCAGATCACACAACACTTAAATGGAGACACGCTGTCTGTGAGAAGAGGTATCGACCCATTGTCATAATGGGAGCTTGAAATCCCTCTATATACTTGCCTGCCACGTCTGTATATGCCATCTGTAGTATATACAACCGACAATCCACCCTGATGTGGTCCAAACAGATAAAGACTGACACGGTCCAAACAGATAAAGACTGACACATACGTACCTGGTTCTGCACTCTGGGTTGACGTGACTGGCAGTTGTCATCGATGCCTACGGTGCTTGGCCAAAGGGGGGCAAATACCCTATCATGGATATTGTAGGACAGGTCCTATTGACCTGATATCTGACACTCAGAGGAAACAAAACACGGAAGCCTGAACACCAACTCATCGTTTCATTATTAAGCAACTTAAAATTGACAACAACATGCCATTTTCCATAGAAGCAGTGGTGGAAAAAATTCCCTAATTGTCATACTTGAGTAAAAGTAAATAATAGAAAATGACTCAAGTAAAAGTGAACGTCACCCAGTAAAATACTACTTGAGTAAAAGTCTAAAAGTATTTGGTGTTAAATATACTTAAGTATCAAAGGTAAATGTAATTACTAAAATATACTTAAGTATCAAAAGTAAAAGTATAAATCATTTCAAATTCCTTATATTAGGCAAACCAGACGGCACCATTTTCTTGTTTTTTTAAATTACACACACTCAGACATAATTTACAAACAGAGCATGTGTGTTTAGTGAGTCCGCCAGATCAGAGGTACCAGGGATGTTCTCTTGATAAGCATTCAAAATGTGACGAGTACTTTTGGTTGTCAGGGACAATGTATGGAGTAAAAAGTACATTATTTTCTTTAGGAAGGTAATGAAGTAAAAGTTGTCAAAAATATAAATAGTAAACTACAGATACCCCCCCCCCCCAAAAAAAAAAAAACTACTTTACTACTTTCAAGTATTTTTACTTAAGTACTTTACACCACTGCATAGAAGTAGTGTGCTCACCATCCAGGCAGGTAGACCATGATAGGAAAGCTGTATTGTAGTGATCAGTTGGTACAGTGGAATGTTGGAGTCCTAAGTAGAACAACATTGCAGTGCTCTCCCTTCACCTTGCAGTTCCTCAAGATGCAGTCGATCTCTGCCAGTAGCATGGCCAGCTGGGCCAGTTTCAGGTCACCCCTCCTAGAGTTGAACAGCAGGTGGGGGGTGGCCACACAGAGGGGCGGGCTCTTGGCATGGACTTCTGACCCCTGTGTGATGATTGGCTGGAGCATCAGGTCAATGCCCATTTTGCCTCGGTCCATCAGCTCACATTCCGGCCTGTAGAACTCCAGCAGGCTCTCTGACACCTGGGAGAAGTGGTCGCGCGTTAACAAACCACACAGCCGTCCGTCTTGGTGTCAGGGTGCTGCTTGTGAACACAAGTGTAGCTTTGAAGGAGGTTTGAACCACACAATTACAAATATTGATATACAAACAGTATTACATGTATTTTACCAACTGTAGCCTATCTTGTATCATTTTGCAATGGCCTTGAGTGTGCCAAAAACTTGGACCTACCCATGTCACAAAGGGCAGGATGGAGTTACTCTGTAAAGTGGTTCTCCTGGATCTCATGCACACAGGATCTACACATGGGAAAAACATACAGCTCAATTCACAAAAAGAAACTCAGACATCATTTACAAACGAAGCATTTGTGTTTAGTGAGTCCGCCAGATCAGAGGCAGTATGACCAGGGATGTTCTCTTGAAAATTGCGTGAATTTGACAGTTTTCCTGTCCTGCTAAGCATTTTAAATGTAACGAGTACTTTTGTAAAGATAATGACAATGTGCTCAAACCGTGCTCTACAAATTCAAACTTCTACTGAAATGCTTGTTTGCATGTGGTTTACCTAAGACGCAGTTTCTAAGCGGTGTTAACAGGTAAAGTCCGTAAAATATCAGGCTCCCGATCATGCTCTGCTCTAATGACTGCCACAATGTTGCCAACAATTTTACAGTGAGATCCGCTATTGGCTCCTTGATTTGTCGTTAGATGACGTTTTGCCGTTGCCGCGACGACGTCACAGCATCAATTTGCCTTGCTGCGGCACAGCTGCAGTCCCCGTTCCTAGCGTTTTCACCTCCTCTCCTGCCGCACATTCCACCCCTTTTGCGCCTGTGTGTGGGCCATTGCTGTAACTTCTGTTACACAAACAGCTTCTCGTTTGCGGCAGAATTGAGTGGGAAAAGTCGCTAAATGGCATAAAATCTCATAGAATCCCAAAACTCCCCAAAGGCAGCCTGAAAAGTAGCTGAATTTGTCGCTAGAATCTTTTACCAATATAAAGTCGCTGGAGGGGTCTGAAAACTCGATAAATATAGCGACAAAGTCGCTAAATTGGCTTGTCTGCTAGCTATGATTTGTCTTTAAGTTCACTCATACTACAACATATCCTACCTCAATGCAAGGTCCTTGCTACCCGGGTCATTGGGACGTCCCTAGTTGACATTTTAAATGGGTAGGTAAGGGTTATGGTTAAGGATAGGGACGTCCCAAGGGTTCTGGATAGCACTAACAGTGACTGCTGCAACAACCTCAGTGCCAGATTCTCATTTTACTGTAGACTTCAAGATGATAGTAATAACAAATAACGCAACAAGTTTAACAACAAGAAAGCTACATGTTGGAATATTTGTAGAACATTGCCATGGTCCTACCTGACCGGTCGCTCCTACCAAGTGGCGTGGCGGGAAGCTGTCTCCGCACCACGTGCTCTCACCACTGGTGTCCCCCAGGGATCGGTTTTGGGCCCTCTCCTTTTCTCCCTATACACCAAGTCACTTGGCTCTGTCATATCCTCACATGGCCTTTCCTATCATTGCTACGCTGACGATACACAACTAATCTTCTCCTTTCCCCCTTCTGATAACCAGGTGGCGAATCGCATCTCTGCATGTCTGGCAGACATATCAGTATGGATGACGGATCACCACCTCAAGCTGAACCCTGGCAAGACGGAGCTGCTCTTCCTCCCGGGGAAGGACTGCCCGTTCCATGATCTCGCCATCACGGTAGACAACTCCGCTGTGTCCTCCTCCCAGAGTGCGAAGAGCCTAGGCGTGACCCTGGACAACACCCTGTCGTTCTCCGCCAACATCAAGGCGGTGACCCGCTCCTGCAGGTTCATGCTCTACAACATTCGGAGAGTGCGACCCTGCCTTACACAGGAAGCGGCGCAGGTCCTGGTCCAGGCACTTGTCATCTCCCGTCTGGACTACTGCAACTCGCTGTTGGCTGGGCTCCCTGCCTGTGCCATTAAACCCCTACAACTCATCCAGAATGCCGCAGCCCGTCTGGTGTTCAACCTTCCCAAGTTCTCTCACGTCACCCCCCTCCTCCGCACACTCCACTGGCTTCCAATTGAAGCTCGCATCCGCTACAAGACCATGGTGCTTGCCTTTGGAGCAGTGAGGGGAACGGCACCCCTGTACCTTCAGGCTCTGATCAGTCCCTACACCCAAACGAGGACATTGCGTTCATCCACCTCTGGCCTGCTGGCTCCCCTTCCTCTGCGGAAGCACAGCTCCCGCTCAGCCCAGTCAAAACTGTTCGCTGCTCTGGCACCCCAATGGTGGAACAAGCTCCCTCACGACGCCAGGACAGCGGAGTCACTCACCACCTTCCGGAGACATTTGAAACCCCACCTCTTTAGGATACTGGGTGCTAAAGTTTCTTTAACCCCCCAAATTGTAAGTGGTATCCACTGGCTATAGGGTAACGCACCATTTGTAGTCTCTTAGAGCGTCTGCTAATACGTTATGTGCCTGAGAGTACTATGCTCGTAATCGCTCTGGTATCAAATGACTAAATTAAATTATGTAAATGTCTGGATCTGTGAATGCAGCATTTGTCTTTTTGTGTTATAGGTAAAAATCAACTCAAAATTACAATACTCAATAGGCCTTCTCTTAGCCTTTCCTGTGAGTGGTGAATTTTTTATGACACACCATGGTCTCCTTAGGATTGAATTACAGTTTGGGACAAAACAGGTGGGTATTTGATTTCACTGTTGCAGCAACAGTTGCTCAGCCCTCACAGATACCGAGTGCATGATGTGGGAAGTGCCACAGTCATAACGGGAAGTAAAATAACATTTCAACAAACATGTTTTGGAGTTGGAGCTTGTGACTGTTAAACAGAGAAGATGTCTGTCCTATCTCTCGAGTCCCTCTGCCTAGCAGATAATGACAGTCCATCCCCTGCAGAAGACCTAGACCTGGAGGATGAGTGGGATACAGACCTGGAGGTTGATGGTGAATAGGCTATTATATTGACATTTTATGGATTAAAACACATCAGCTCACAGTAGTTATTAGAATGTGTTATTGTTTGCATTGTAAGTTGATTTGTTTGATGCGTATCTCACACTGATGGTTGTCTGATAGTGACGCCACTTCTTGTAATTGTTAGAGATGAAAAAGACCAGTAAGGACACTTCGACTGCTGAGATGTACCTGCAGGCCTGCAAGCTGGTCGGGGTGGTTCCTGTCTCCTATTTCCTCCGGAACCTGGGCACCTCCACCATGAACCTCAACCACCACGGCCTGGGACCTCCGGGGGGCAAGGCACTAGCCATCGCCCTGGTGGTAAGTCAGGTGGATGTCTATTAACATATAATCAACTTCAAGGAACGCTCTTTATGTTCCAATGTTTTTTCTCAGACTGACATGCATATTACCAACCTGGAGTTGGCAGACAACTACCTGCTGGCTGAGGGAGCCAGATACCTTGTGGAGATGTTGAAGGCAAATTTCACCATTCAGCATCTGGTAAGTTTGTATGAGATGGTCTTTAGGCAGCTCTTTGTAAGAAGGTATAGTCATTGTATCTGGTATCTCTTTTGCATCTCTATAACCTGTTTATTCAGAAGTGGGATAAGTATGAGTATGTGGTCCTCTGTAGCTCAGCTTGTAGAGCACGGCGCTTGTAATGCCAAGGTAGTGGGTTCGATCCCCGGGACCACCCATACACAAAAAACGAACAAAAAAATAAATAAATTATGCACGCATGACTGTAAGTCGCTTTGGATAAAAGTGTCTGCCAAATGGCATATTATTATTATTATGACATGATACGTCACACAATCTTTGATTTGATTTGAATCTGCCACAAGAGGGCATAATAGTCTTGCGGGTCATGCTTTCATGATGGAATTATAGATCTGTATTAAAATGCCCACTGTTTGTCTTGTAGGATTTGTCCAACAATCACCTACAGTCTGAAGGCGCTGAGTGCATAGCAAAAATGTTGCTCGATAACATTTCCATCAAATCCATCAAACTTTCAGGTAGTGCACACAGATTTGAAAATGGAAACAAAAAGAACAGTCTGTTAGATACTATATTTCTCTACTCTATTTCTGAATCTTTTTATGAAAACAATTTCTTAACAGGGAATGGATTCATAGAGGACAATGCTAAAAGTTTTGCAGATGCCCTGGCAGTAAGTGAATAGAAATGGCATTCAAACATGCATGCATATTGATGATATTACTGTCATTGGAGTCTATAGCTAGCTCCTTGCTATATCTCTCCATTTAGAACAACTACAGAGTAAAAGAGCTGGACTTGAGCCACAATCAGTTCTGTGGGAGAGGTGGGGAGCATCTGGGCCAGATGTTAGGTAGGACCATTTCACTTAATTACGGCTGAGCAGTCTCATGGAGTATACAGTCAAATGGAGTCATTAGGGTTACAATCATGCACAATGTGAGTGTTTTGCATCTGCTGTCACTGACGTAATCCTACAGCCAACAATGAAGCTCTGGAGGTACTAGACTTGAGCTGGAACCATCTGCGAATGAAAGGAGCTGTGGCTTTCTGTGCCGGCCTCAAGGTTTGGATAAACATACTCAACCCAATTCCCACATTTAAGGTGTAAGTTCATAAAACAGTATGTGATCAAAATATCTACTCTTCACATAGGTGAATGTGACCCTGAAACACCTGGACCTGTCCTGGAATGGCTTTGGGAATGAGGGGGCCTTGGCTTTAGGAGAGGCACTGAAATTCAACAACACTCTGGTGTACCTGGACCTCAACAACAACCGCATCACCAACGAGGGGGTAGGCATGCTGTGCAAGGGGCTGGAGGCCAACGACACTCTCAGAGTACTGATGGTAGGTGCTTGATTGACAGGGCACACACCCACTGACCTGTGTGGTGTGAAACTAGGGTGACTTTATATGTTTTGTGTCCCTGCAGCTGGCTTATAACTCTCTGACAGTGGAGGGGGCGCTGGCTCTTGTCACTGTGGTCAAGAACACACCCAAAACCGCTCTGGAGGAGATCAACATATCCGTGAGCGCTGTTGTTCTCTTCTTGATGTACACTAGAAGTGTTTTGGTCCCTGCATTATAACTTTACCATGGTTTGGAGCGTTAACTTGATGTTTGTGTGTAGAATGTGTTGGTGAATGAAAACTTTGTGCAGCTGCTGGATCTGACGTGCCTTGAGCATCCCTGTCTGGAGGTGCAGTATGGAGGAGTCGGGGGCTTTATCGCTAAGAAACCACCCAAACGCCTTGACCCAATGAAAGTAATCCAGGTACTGTAGTAGGCTACTGTTACTCATGAAACCATTTTAGTCATGTAGAAATGTAGTAATGTAGTAATCACAAGTGATATCATTGCATACCAGTGCAGTGTATTTTTTTTGTTTACAGCTAATTCTACAAACTAGGACCTATTTATGGCTGTTTTTAAAGACAGTGCAAGATGTGAAATAGGGAGGAATTTTTTAAGACAAAAAAACCCGTCCCAACTATTATTTTCTTTGAAGGATTATCTGGATGAACGGAAGCTGCGTCTTTGGGACTTCTTTCGGAAAATCGATAAAGATGGGACAATGCGAGTGCCTGTGGCAGACTTCAGGAAGGCTGTGCAGGTCTCAAACTAATTGCTAATTCCATAGTCTCTGACATTTGCAAGGTCTATTGAGCTAATGCATTTCCAATGCTCCAAGATATCCCGGAATACCCTCACATGTACTCATCTGAGTGGGTTTTGTAATGTCTTTATTTTGAAGTCAGTGGCCAGCTCATAGTCTTTATTTGTTTACTCTTATGTAACCATTACAGCAATCCAACATCCCCTTGGATCGATACCAGATTGAGGAGTTGATTCAGAGACTGGATCGTGAAAGGACAGGGATGGTAGACTACAGGTGGGCTTTTCTCATAAGAACAAACTGCCAGAGTGGGGAGACCATTATGGGTGTGTAAAGAAAACACCTAACATCAGCAATAACCTGAGAACTGAACAGAAACTTGTCATAAACTGTCTACACATCTGTTTGCCCAACAAACAAAACATGAGCAGACCTTTATGGTCAGAGTGTTGAAGTAGGGCAAACGTATCTATGTGTAATTGCTTGTAGTGCCATGCCAATGTTTTCCCCTTTCAAAAGCTGAGAAAGTCAAGTTTACATCTGACTTGAAATTAAATAAGTTTAAGTGAATCATCACATTAAATACATTCTTTGGTGTCTCTCCTCAGGGGTCTGGCTGACACCAGGAAGCAGATGATGCGGGACCACCGGCGGCAGCTGCGTAAGGTGGAGTCCCGTCAGAAGAAAGAGAAGCAGAAGAGCGAGCGTATCCTGAAGACCTTTCAGAGCGCCGTGGAGGCCAACACCCCCCGCAGCTCCATGGTCATGTCCCCAGGCGGCACCAAGGAGGACTCCAGTGGCCCCCAGCACTTCTCTGCCACCCCACTCAGCTCCTGGCACCACATTGTCATGTCCAACAGCAGCCGCTACTCTGTCACAAACCTGAGCAGTGAGCACGTCCACCTCCCCATGCTAGGGGGCAGCACCCACCAACGGCCCACCAGTTCCCCCACCATGCGCTCCTACTCCCAGCCCAACCTGATGGATGATTCCCCACGATACCCCCAATCCAAGCCCTCCTCGGCCCAGGGGATGCTCTCTGACTCCAACCCTGATGTTGACCACACCAAGCTGAGCCCCACTGCCAACCACCTGACCAGGTCCAGACCAGCACTGAACTCCAAGCAGCCAGCTACTAAAATCAAAACCACCAAAGTGAAGAAAAAGAAGACCAAGAAACACGTGGATAAAACTCCACGTCAACAGAATCAAACACAATCATCGAAGTGACTGATGCTGCTGTGTCTTACTATGCAGTAACAGCTCCACTGACCCTTTGTTATATATTTTTACTGGGAAATATAATAATAATAATTCCATATATTACACATATAACCACAAAATAAATATTATTCCAGTATACATAGCCACGTTTCATGCAAACCTTATTCTCACCCAGCTAAATTAGATGGTATGATTATCTTTAAATGTATCCTGTTAGTTGTTGAATTGATGTGCCTTAGCTCAATAGTATGAACTCTTTTATTTAAGATACCATTTAGTGGCAGGGTTGGCAAAGATCCTGCTCAGACCATAGTACTTTTCATTATGTCTGGGAAAGTTCCCAGGTGTAGATGCAAAGTGCACACCCATGAATTATCTGTGAAAATTCTAAAACCCACCACAACATTATATGACATCCCTGCACTAAAAACATCCTAGCAGTTAGAATCTGTTTGTCAAAGATAACTGACGTCACACAGTTGTAAAAGGTGTCTAGATATTCTGTGACGTGTGTCTTTGATGGTGACAGTGTGGGTGTGAAGGCCTATCACTCTCTGATGTACGCCATAGATTCTGCAATGAGCAATGGTTCTGATGACTATTTCCTTAACAATAATTCTGTTTGCCTATGATATGTGACTTAGAAGGTACTTACTGTATATCAAATATCCTTCCCTCCAGTTTGAGACATATGAGAACAAGCTGACTGTGTGCAGAATGGTTAGTGAACCTGACGGTGTTGGTGGAGCTGATGGAGAAGAACCATGAAGCGTACAGCGAGGCCTACATGGAGGAGGTAAAGGTGCAGATCAAACAGGTGGAGACTCTGGTGCAGGAGCTCCTGGGCTCCATACAGACCTCCACTACAGTCTTTGAGTCTCTGCACCAGCAGGTAAATACCCAAAGACTGTCCCTAACAACTCATATGGTCATGATACAGCTATGGTCAATGACCATGTCGACTTTTCACTTGAGATATTTCTCTTTTGTAAGATTTAAAACTTTTGGTCTTGTGGTTGCTCATGCTTATCGGTGTTCTCTCTCAGATCTCCTCCATGGTGGTGGTCCTGACCAAGCTGGAGAGGTAGGACAAGAACCTGGTGCTGGTGACCAGTTGTGAGTACATCAAGATACAGCTCAAACTGGAGGAGTGTGAGAGTTGCCACAATGAGATCAACCCCTAAATCGGTAAGTCTAAGACCAGTTTTTAAATGATACGCACCTGCCTCATGCCAAAATGTCTTAGACTCTTGCACGTTTGATGTCACTGACTGTACCCTCTTTTCTCAGGGTCCTGTGAGCACAGAGGTATAACAACAATCAGCAAGTCCATCGTCAGTCAACTGAATGCCCACTTGAATGCTGGCTACAAACTGGGGAGGGTGGGGAAATGATTCTAAACCTGTGCATGGTTCTGAATCTCAATACTGTTACTCTGGGTTGTGCCTCAATTGTTGACATGAGATTTTACGGTAACTACAAAAATCCTATTTTGAGAACTCAATTTAAACACCAAAGCTTGTCAAGTAGCTGGTATGGAACTGGTAACAACTTCATTGTTGGTAATAACACCCTGTATTATCAATTTAACAACCCATTTAGCATGGTCAAACTGAATATTACTACTATGAAATATGAGCACAGGGTGATTGCAAAGGCTAGCACCAGATTCTCATACAGTCACTCACCCAATCAGAACCTAGACTTTGCTGCTGATTAGAATGGGCTGTGGGTGACCTATGCCACAGAGGAATCCAAGGGTAAAATGGTAATTGCTCAAATCCATGAACCATCATTTGGTATAGAGGAGTTGTTGGAAGCCAGTGTGTGCAAACCATCTGTGAGCAATGCCTTCATGGTGTGTGAGGTTTTCTATGCTGTCAGAACAGTTGACATTCACTATGAGGATATATTTTACACTTATGACACCAAGACAAAACAAGAGAGCTACATGAGCGTTCCATTTGAGTGGTTCCAGGACAAGTATGTCAACCTCGACTGCAACCCACTGAACAGAAACTTGACATGTACAACGATGGCTACTATGTCAACTATCACTTCTGGTTTGACACACAGACCACTGTAAACACAACACAACTCCTTTTCTTATCTAAAAAAATGCTACGATAGAACTATGTTGAACATAGACCCAATCCGCTTTGCCCATAATTTCCTGTAAATTAAATAATCATTTACAAAGGCCATTTATTATGTTAGCAATTCAAGCATACATAACAGTATTGATCGGACTATGGAATGTTGCTTGAGTGAATTAACTACTAAAATGAGGTTCATGGAAAAACTAGGGCAGAATCAAACCCAAACCAGTACTATACTTACCAACATACAATCTAAAGTCCCATGGGGAGAAGTAAAGTAATATTTGTTTGCTGGAACTTGCTAGGCTATATAATTGGAATAAGGATGAAAATACTTTATCATACAATCATATGCTTATCTCAACATATGATATCCTGCCACATTGTTGATGACTGATCGTAAGATCTGGTTACGCGGTTGATAATATCAGGTACCATCTATAACATGTCGTCATCATAACTGAGAAACTGTCCATATGGCCCGTTTCTCATGAACTCCATGTCCACATCATCATTGTGATCAATAAAAGGATAAGAGACAGGTTTCAGAAAATAGTATTTTATCACAAGCAAACAAGGATGTCTGCATATAATGTCTCAAGAATTGAAGGGAGTCTCTTATGCAACAGCAGTAATTATTTACATTTTAGTCATTTAGCAGACACTCTTATCCAGAGGGACTTACAGTTAGTGAGTGCATACATTTTCATACTGGCCCCCCGTGGGAAGAAGCAAGATGTTTCTGTTGAGCTGATAGGAGGGTCTTTAAAAATCCAGAGCAAACAGACAAGGAGACTCACCAGAACAACACTGGAGACAAGATGGTTCCATTTCTACTGCTCCTGCCTCTTCTTTGCCCTGCGGTGGCTAGGCTGGTAAAGGACTTTCATTTTCTCCTTCCACTAAAACTTAACAGCTAGAGATACTTCCAAATAGACCTTTAGTTTACTACTATTGTGAGGTACCACTGTGAAGTTCACTCTTAACTAGTATTTTCTGTATTTTCCTCCAGCCAATGGAGGACTGGGACTCTGGCAATGTGACTGCATCTGTAGGGGAGTCAGGGCAATGCCTTTGTCATGTGTTTCTACCTGACACCACCTTCCCTTCCGACCGTGTGGAACACATGCAACAAGTCACCAAGGATCTGATGCTGGAAGTGGGAATCCAGATAAATAAGGTACTGTATTGCACTGTACTGAACACCATATGGTGTGAGCCCCATGAACAGGATTACATTCATATTGCATTTACACACCAGGTTTTAGAGTGATGTTAAAAGTCGCCTACTCCAGTAAATGGAACATGTCTCGTAAACCTCAGAGGAGATGCATGTGTATATTTAACTGAGACCTCATTCACAGTATACCCTACTAGATATCTTACACCGGGACTAGTACCTGTGTCTCTCTTGCGACAGTTACAAGGGCAAGCTTGTGATCTTTTTGGCTGAGCTGAGGAACCTGACTATGAGAGTTGAGATTGTGGAGAGTGGCCCTGATAAGTACATCTAACTGGATTTCGAGCTTCTCAGGATCAAGCTGAGAGAGTTTGAATTGTTGGTGACACAGCTGAAGGATTCCCTCAACTCCTCCTCGCCTATGTTCGACAGCCTGTACACAGAGGTAAATGGGTGATAGTTAGACAGATATATCGCAATGACTATTCATGTCTGACAGTGGTATAATAAATAAGTGACAGGCAATATGAAGCAGGAGCAAGAGGAATGTTGCTGTGTGGAACGAATTACTGATTTGTCCTTTGTACACATGCATCCATAGATTTGCAACATGAGCCTGATTGTGAACCAGTTGGAGAGCTATGACAAGAGTAACCTGGAGGTGATCCGTATTGAGTTTGGAAAACTGCAGAAGAAGCTGGAGGAGTGTCAGAAGAACCAAGAGGAGGGCATAAACCCAGATATTGGTAAGGAGCCTCTTATGGTAGCATTGTTGACAGATTGTATCATTATATCAAAAGCAGTAGTTTGTGGATTTGTTTGTCATATATATTATCAATAGCTATTTATATTTCCCCCCAGGTTCCTGCAACCACAAAGGCATCACCAGTGTAGCGAAGCCAGTGGTCAGCCAACTCAATGCAGACTTGAATGCAGGCTACAGATTTGGGGGGTGGGGAAAAGACTCAAAACCCAATTGTGGCTTTGAATCAGTGTATTGGTATGGTGCCTATAGCAGTGCCTCAGTGCATAACTTTTATCTTTACTCCGACTATCAAAGTCTGGTTTTGAGGAATTCATTTAAACGACATGACTTACCAAATGGATGGCAGGGTACCGGCAACAATTACATTGTTCATGGTAACACCCTGTATTACCAGAAAAACAGCCCATTCAGCATGGCTAAACTGAATTTGACCACATCCAAATATGACTACAGAGTAATTGAAAAGGCCAATGCAACATTCTCATACAGTTTCTCAGCCAATCACAACATGGACTTCTCAGCCGATGAGAATGGACTGTGGGTAACATATGCCACAGATGAATCCAAAGGTAAAATGGTCATTGCCAAAGTAAACAAGGTTGAATTTGGTATAGAGGATGTATGGAGCACCGGTGTGTACAAATCATTGGTAGGCAATGCCTTCATGGTGTGTGGTGTTCTCTATGCTACCAGACCAGTCCATGTTCACACAGAGGAGATCTTCTGCTCTTATGACACCAAAACAGAGCAGGAGAACTACCTCAGCATTCCATTGGAGAAGTTCCAGGATGAATATATAAACCTGCACTACAACCCTATTGATCAGAAACTCTATATGTACAACAAGGGCTACTATGTGTCCTATAGTGTCAAGTTTAACAAAGACTAGATTCCCCCTCTGGTCTATTGTATCTTGATTGATGCGACTGATATTACTTTCTGACAGCATGGGGCTTTGTTGAACAGATAGATATTCATTACATTGTCTGATGCATTGACTTGCATTTGAAAATCACGTCCCTTGAATTTCTGAAATAAAATCAAACTGAAGCATTAAAATAACTATGTGCTCTATTTCGGTTAATTTGAAATTGAATTGAAAAATAAAATGTTCATTATTATCGTTACTAGAAATACCCAGCCACTGTGTCAGATTCCCTCCCATTACCTGGGCAGTCCAATGAGAAAGAGTATAGGGGTGCGGTATCCCACCCCTTATTTTTCAGTCGAATTTGAGTCATTCCGTATAACTAGCACCTCAATATGACTCATCCCCAGTATGATATCAGACCCCTCCCACCCTAGCTTTGGGCTGAAGGGCTGGGCCTCTCCTTTTCCTCCCTTCCCCCTCCCCTCTCCCCTCATTTGGCTCAGGCTGGGGCTTCCGCCCAGCTCCTCTGTAAGCAAGCCCTCCCCTGGGGTTGTTCTTTGTGCTCCAGCGAGAAGCTGGCTCCATCTGGTACTGAGGACCAAGTCAGAGCAGATTACACTAACCAGGCAGGGTGAGACCCACATAGTATCCACCCACTACATATACAACAATGAACCATGCACATTGTTTTATTCTTACGGTTTCAGGTAATTGTTGTACAAATCCATTGACTCATTCACATTTTCATACAACATTATACTATAACATACTGTAACATATTGCAAAATCTATCTGAAATAGAAAAATAGGTCTGAGACACAGCAAGACAAAGATAGCACTGTCTTTTTAAATCTTGCATCTGTCAGGATGGGAGGGGGGAAGTGAAGGCCTTGTGGCAAATGGTACCCTTAGTGACATCATCGCAAGCCAATAGGCAGCCTAGATGAGCGCCCTCCTTTTCCTGAGATCTGTGAAGGGAGGTCGGCTGCTGAGGATGCAGGCAGCTGCTGGGGCGGTGGGTCCAGGGCATGCTCTGATCACATCAGGTAGGTAGAATATATATGTATATATGTAGTGGTGTGTGTGTGTGTGTGTGTGTGTGCAGCAGCACTGATTTTTAGATCTATTCTAGCCTGCCTCCCCCTCTAAGGAGGGCCAGATCAGGGATGCTGAAATAGCAGTGTGAGGGAGGATTGAGAGAGAATGCAGATGGCTGTGTTTCATAACAGTGGCTTATTATATGCTATAGCATCCCTGTCTGTCGTGTGGCGACCATGATGTGTGTATTATGCAAGCATTTATCCATTCGAGACAAACAAATGTGATTATTCCATTGTGAATCTTGTGTGTTCTGGCTTGTCTCTATGTTCACATGATATGTTTGTCATTGGTATCAAGGATGTTGGTGCATGTATCATGGGAATACTGCAGGAGGCTGACTGCATGTTATTGCTGTGTGGATTCTCAACGACAGACACACTAGGGTGCTGCAGTGCTACTTGGCTTGACTTCCCCTCATCAGACTGTATGAGGGATGATAATGAGTGTATGTGTGTGGGTGTGTATACAGAGCTAACCCCATGTCACAATGGTACTGTAGTAAGGCATCAGCACATTTTCATAGTGCACATTTGTGGTATTGCAATACATTAGCATTTACAAGTCCTCTGACAACAGGGATCTGCCCACAGCTTTCCTATATGTATTTAATCTGACATGAGTGAGTGGACATCAGGCAGTTTAGCACTCCGAGTCATCATTCCTCGGCCACCGCAGCAGCACTGACAGTGTCTGTTCATTCATCACCAATAATACAGGAGGAGCACACTCATACTCACTTTCTGTGCTCTGCTGAAGTTGAACCAAACTCTCTGATTACCCAGGTTCGTATCGTCATGTTCGTCAATAAAGACTTTAACCTTCAAGTGGAGGAGGATAACCCCCCAGTGAGCCGACTGACTGCTGCCAGTGATGAGTCCCACTGCTGACAGGACCAGGGAGCAAAGGTGAGACAACTTACTCCACATGTTTATGATCTAACGATAGCATGGAGAAGAACAGAAACAGTCTGTTATTGGTCACATTACTTTCACATTACTCTCTGTTTTGTGCTTTGCTGTCATGTTTTTCTCAGACAAGTGACTAGTTAAGGGATTTACTGTAGCCCTGAGAAATATTGACTCTTGGTTTTCGGCAGTTACCACCTCTGGAGATTTGATCAATCATTCACCACCAGAATAAGGATTATTCTTTGGAACTTCCCTTAAAGAGAGTAAAGTCTTAGCGGTGGCTGGTCGTGTTATGATTCCTCCTAGGACGTTCCTACAGTACACTCCTTTAACCAGGTCTGTTGTGTGGCTGCTAGGCCCGTCTGGACCTCCACAGAGTCAAGCCAGGACAGACAGGACAGCCATGGCCAAGAGAGACTACCTGGTGGAGGCAGCCAAGCAGATCCGCATGGCTCTGGACAGGGAGGTCAATGAAGACTATGAGGCTGCCTTCAGCTACTACAAGAATGGGGTTGACCTGCTGCTCAATGGAGTTCAAGGTACAGTGGTACATCTACTGTACTGTATTCTATCAACATGCAGGGTTCTGGTTAGGGTGATATTGAATAGATCAGCTACTCAACACTGTGAGAACAAGTCACGCGGCATGAAACAGGAACATGTGGATTTGTCCGTCCATGATTCATCCATTGAAAAGCAGAATTAAATCATTCCTATGAAAAACAGGAAGTCAGAAAGCCAAGGTCAGCGAGAGATTTCCATACTGGCAAAGTATGCTGAATATTATTCTGCTCTTTCCTCTGCTGTTTTAGTGAAGTAGGTAAAACAAACGCTTTTGAATTATATGAGTCAGGGGTTGACATTAAAGTCTGAAAGGCACTTGCCCATCCAGCAAGTCAGGAGTATTCTTTGGTTGCCTGAAGATTATGATCACCTGCCTGAAAATGGCAATAGGCTATTTACACGCAGAAATGCCTTCCAGTATTGCCGGCCTTTTACCTACACATTCTTTTTTTTCTTTTTTCTTATTTAACCTTTATTTAACTAGGCAAGTCAGTTAAGAACAAATTCTTATTTACAATACGGCCTACCAAAAGGCAAAAGGCCTCCTGCGGGGACAGGGATAAAAAAAAATATATATATATATATAAATATAGGACCAAACACACATCACAACGAGACAACACTACATAATGAGAGACCCAAGACAACAACATAGCATGGCAGCAACACACGACAACACAGCAAGGTAGAAACCCAACATGAAAACAACATGGTAGCAACACAACATGGCAGCAGCACAAGACATGGTAAAAACATTATTGGGCACAGACAACAATACATCACGTGAAGCAGCCATAACTGTCAGTAAGAGTGTCCATGATTGAGTCTTTGAATGAAGAGATGGAGATAAAACTGTCCAGTTTTAGTGTTTTTTGCAGCTCGTTCCAGTCGCTAGCTGCAGTGAACTGGAAAGAGGAGCGACCCAGGGATGTGTGTGCATAGGGGACCTTTAACAGAATGTGACTGGCAGAAAGGGTGTTGTATGTGGAGGATGTGGGCTGCAGTAGGTATCTCAGATAGGGGTAGTGAGGCCTAAGAGGGTTTTGTAAATAAGCATCAACCAGTGGATCTTGCGACGGGTATACAGAGATGACCAGTTTACAGAGGAGTATAGAGTGCATTGATGTGTCCTATTAGGAGCATTGGTGGCAAATCTGATTTACCGAATGGTAAAGAACATCTAGCCACTCGAGAGCACCCTTACCTGCCAATCTATCAATTACGTCTCTGTAATCTAGCATGGGTAGGACGGTCATCTGAATCAGGGTTAGTTTGGCAGCTGGGGTGAAAGAGGAGCGATTAGAGGAAACCAAGTCTAGATTTAACCTTAGCCTGCAGCTTTGATATGTCTTGAGAGAAGGACAGTGTACCGTCTAGCCATACTCCCAAGTACTTGTATGAGGTGACTACCTCAAGCTCTAAACCCTCAGAGGTAGTAATCACACCGGTGGGGAGAGGGGCATTCTTCTTACCAAACCACATGACCTTTGTTTTGGGGGTGTTCAGAACAAGGTTAAAGGCAGAGAAAGCTTGTTGGACACTAAGAAAGCTTTGTTGTAGAGCATTTAACACAGAATCCGGGGAGGGGCCAGCTGAGTATAAGACTGTATCATCTGCATATACAGTGGTTGAAAAAAGTATTTAGTCAGCCACCAATTGTGCAAGTTCTCCCACTTAAAAAGATGAGAGAAGCCTGTAATTTCCATCATAGGTACACGTCAACTATGACAGACAAAATGAGGAAAAAAAATCCAGAAAATCACATTGTAGGATTTTTTATGAATTTATTTGCAAATTATGGTGGAAAATAAGTATTTGGTCAATAACAAAAGTTTCTCAATACTTTGTTATATACCCTTTGTTGGCAATGACACAGGTCAAACGTTTTCTGTAAGTCTTCACAAGGTTTTCACACACTGTTGCTGGTATTTTGGCCCCTCCATGCAGATCTCCTCTAGAGCAGTGATGTTTTGGGGCTGTCGCTGGGCAACACAGACTTTCAACTCCCTCCAAAGATTTTCTATGGGGTTGAGATCTGTAGACTGGCTAGGCCACTCCAGGACCTTGAAATGCTTCTTACGAAGCCACTCCTTCGTTGCCCGGGCGGTGTGTTTGGGATCATTGTCATGCTGAAAGACCCAGCCACGTTTCATCTTCAATGCCCTTGCTGATGGAAGGAGGTTTTCACTCAAAATCTCACGATACATGGCCCCATTCATTCTTTCCTTTACACGGATCAGTCGTCCTGGTCCCTTTGCAGAAAAACAGCCCCAAAGCATGATGTTTCCACCCCCATGCTTCACAGTAGGTATGGTGTTCTTTGGATGCAACTCAGCATTATTTGTTCTCCAAACACGACGAGTTGAGCTTTTACCAAAAAGTTCTATTTTGGTTTCATCTGACCATATGACATTCTCACAATCCTCTTCTGGATCATCCAAATGCACTCTAGCAAACTTCAGACGGGCCTGGACATGTACTGGCTTAAGCAGGGGGACACGTCTGGCACTGCAGGATTTGAGTCCCTGGCGACGTAGTGTGTTACTGATGGTAGACTTTGTTACTTTGGTCCCAGCTCTCTGCAGGTCATTCACTAGGTCCCCCCGTGTGGTTCTGGGATTTTTGCTCACCGTTCTTGTGATCATTTTGACCCCACAGGGTGAGATCTTGCGTGGAGCCCCAGATCGAGGGAGATTATCAGTGGTCTTGTATGTCTTCCATTTCCTAATAATTGCTCCCACAGTTGATTTCTTCAAACCAAGCTGCTTACCTATTGCAGATTCAGTCTTCCCAGCCTGGTGCAGGTCTACAATTTTGTTTCTGGTGTCCTTTGACAGCTCTTTGGTCTTGGCCATAGTGGAGTTTGGATTGTGACTGTTTGAGGTTGTGGACAGGTGTCTTTTATACTGATAACAAGTTCAAACAGGTGCCATTAATACAGGTAACGAGTGGAGGACAGGGGAACCTCTTAAAGAAGAAGTTACAGGTCTGTGAGAGCCAGAAATCTTGCTTGTTTGTAGGTGACCAAATACTTATTTTCCACCATAATTTGCAAATAAATTCATAAAAAATCCTACAATGTGATTTTCTGGATTTTTTTTCCTCATTTTGTCTGTCATAGTTGACGTGTACCTATGATGGAAATTACAGGCTTCTCTCATCTTTTTAAGTGGGAGAACTTGCACAATTGGTGGCTGACTAAATACTTTTTCCCCCCACTGTAAATGGATGAGAGAGCTTCCTACTGCCTGAGTTATATTGTTGATGTAAATTGACAAGAGCGTGGGGCCTAGGATCGAGCCTTGGGGTACTCCCTTGGTGACAGGCAGTGGCTGAGACAGTAGATGTTCTGACTTTATACACTGCACTCTTTGAGAGTGGTAGTTAGCAAACCAGGCCAAAGACCCCATAGGGGAGGGATCAGAAAGTTTAGGACTGGAATTCTTTGTATTTGGTTGTTATCAGTAAAAAGAATCTCAGAGCAGGCTCAGCTTGTCTGACTGGCATAAATGCCATAAATTCACTTAAGGTTAAACAATGTGGAGGAACGAGAAAGATGAGTTTTAGGCTACTGGAATTCTTATATAATAGGGCAACCCTTAATGTCAATCCCTGTGAGTTGATTTGAGTTTAGTGAAGTGAGGTTTCTCTCCCCCTCTGTGTGAGGGGGAGAGAAATCTAAGGTTGGTCTGTCTTCCAGTTGACCCTAACAAGGAGCGCCGGGAGGCAGTGAAGAGGAAGACTACTCAGTATCTAAAGAGGGCAGAGGAAATCTTTATCTCCCACCTGCAGGACAACCTGGGGAAGGGGAACTCTCACTTAGGGGTAAGAAGATTACATTTTACAGTAAACCCTCCCTTGACAAGACTAACATTCCATAATACTGTGCACATCTTATGAATGGGTATCAACCCGCTCTGACCATCCGTGTTACTCAATGATACTGGGCACTCATTTTCCAGCTTTTCACTCCTGTATTGATTTATATGTCTAGTCTGTTTATTGAAGAGTTGGTATATATGCTATTTATATGTCCACCACTCTGAATCATTTCCTTCTGGGAAAGCCGGAGTCACATCTTCAGAGTAATCAGTCTGTGCTGCTAACAGTCTCTGGATGTTGGCTACAGAGCAGCACAACATCCCCTCTGTTACAACTGTTACACTACACCCGACCGGGGGGAGATCACATTATATCTGCCAGGGTGGCTCGCACTGGACGGCTGGGCGCTCTCTCTCCCCCTCTCTCTTATGTAACATTCTAATATCTGTCCTAAGATTGTAACTAATCCCAGAGTAGAAGCACTTTGATGTGAATTCAACACAAACACGTGTCCACATTGCTGACATCTGTGCTGTAATCTCTTTTTATCACCAGGGTTACAGTAGTCTGAGATTCCGGCCAATCAGACACCTGAGTTCCCCAGTGGAGGATCTAGAGATGTGTAAAGTGGTGGGGATCATCGATAAGGTAGGGAGGTTTTTACACCCACTGCTCTAAACCAGACGGAGTATACTTGAACTGTTTGTTACAGCTGATGATCATCTCTTGAACAGACATCCTGGTTGTAGTTACCCCTTTATTAACCATGTCTTATAGATCCAGTGAACCATGATGCTTATCTTTGCAAATATGAATTTGTCCCAAAACTGTCATAACCATCTAATAACAAACTACTCAATTTATTCTCAGCTCTATTTAAACTAACATAAAATATGTCTTCTCCCCAAGGTCCTGATTGTCCAAAGCCTGATTACCAAGGAGAAATGTGTTGTTAAAGTAAGTCCTTATGCCTCAACACTACCAATACAGTATGTCAGGGGGGAGGGTGGCAGGGCAGAATGACAGAGTACACATGTAGTGCAGGGAGCCTAGCGGCTGAGAGCGTTGGGCCAGTCACTGAAAGGTTGCTGGTTTGAATCCCCGAGCCGACGAGGTGAAAAATCTGTTGATGTGCCCTTGAGCAAGGCACTAAACCCTAATTGCTCCTGTAAGTTGTTCTGGATAAGAGTGTCTGCTAAATGTAAAATGTATATCTGTGTAGATGCATATCCAGTGCACAGATGGCTGTTGTACTGTCTGGATCCCTGCCAGCCATTCTGTGGCAGCCCAGTTTATGGGAATACTATCAGCCTTGTCTCCCTGAGTATCCTTCTCCATTGATCTGGCTAAAAGCCCTCTACTTTGACCCTCTTAGTGCAAATGCACCTCCCATTTCTGTAACCAGAGAGTTGCTATTGGAACATGCTGTAGCAGGGGTGGCTAAGGCGTAGGTCTCAGAGAAGATGCTATCTATCTAGGCACTGGTAGAGACAGCTTTTGTAGAGAGATTCGTTTTTAGATCAATTAACCATAGACTTAATTAAGCCTAGACTGAAAATAATTTGTATTACAGTAGTGATAAGTTGTATTTTGACAAAGGTAATAACAGCATAGTAATATGTGTGTTGTTCTCTGTGTCCTCACAGAGCCTGCCCAAGTCGAGCTGGGAGAGCCGGGACCAGCCCACTATCATCCCCCAGGGGGTCCCCTTCATGGTGAAGCTGCTGAGGTACTATGTCAGTGAGGACGCTGTGTACCTGCATCTGGAGCATGTTCAAGGTGAGCTGAACACAGGTTCTGCCTGCCAGCCCTGCAGTATGGGAGATTTAGCTGATGCTCTTACCTAGCCTATAGTCATGCAAAGGCAGTGGACCAACAGTTTTCATTTTTTGCTGATGGCTGCAATCTTCAGCCATTTTGGGTCACGGATGCCATAGAGAGTAGAAAAGATAGCTGAATTAAAATGAAGAAAAACAACTATTGTCTGATGTATTGACTTTTCTATAATCTGTAGGTGGGAAGCTTTTCTCCAAACTGCACAAGGTCAGGAACGACCGAGCCAAGGAGCACCCAGAATGCTCCAGTCCCAGCCAGCACAGGATCAAACTGAAGAACAGCTATACCTCCCCTACCATCAGCTCAGACTACCAGCAGAATGACAGAGGGGGCACATGGACAACCCCTCTCCTGGAGAGGGAGAGCGAGGAGAGCCCAGACACAGACTCCCCTGCATCCTGGCACGAGGCTCAGCAACGCCTGGAGAGCTGCAGGACCCACTCCTACTGTGAGGAGACAGGCTGCCTGCAGAACAATTCCAGGTCTGTAGCGCCACACGCTCCGGCGACACAGCCCTACTTATCTAGGCCAATGAGGACAGACACCAGTCCCCATTTCCATCCAACAGGCCTCAGTCAGTGTTTGCACTCTAAAACTCAGGACAAACTTGCTCTCTATGGTCATCCGTGCATCGATCAGGCTCCTGATGTCACCTCTGAGCCCTCTGGGAAGGCCACTGGAACAGAAAAAATTGAATCCAGTTCGGATTTCGACATGGTGTGGAAGGCTGATCTGACTTGTAACTGTGAGAGTTCAGCCCCCTATGCAGAGACTGGTACTGACTCCAATATAGCTGCAGGTAAATCTGTACCTCAAACAACTCAGACCTCTTCTGGTGGTGCAGGGTCAACAGTGAACTTCAAGAATCATTCTATCAGTTTATATTCACAGAAAAGGTATGTTCCCACTACATTGCAATTACCCCTCCATAATCAAAGCCAGGTTAGTGAGAGAGAAACTTTGACTACCAATGGCTCTCACCAAGACAGTGTTTCAGGTAGAGAACTTGAGAACACTGTGAGCATGGTGACAGACACACACCAGGGGAGAGGGCAGGAGGAGAAGGTAAACTCAGTAACCAGGGGCACAGAGACTTCCCAGCCTGGCAGAGATGTGTCCCCCTCTACAGTAGACAAGCTGAAGCTCATGAGGACATCCTCAGGGAACTCTCAACACCCTTCAGTCTCTCACTGTCACAGTACAGGGACACAGCGGGGGACCCAGCCAGGCACCTCTCTGGCCCTCACAGGGGTGAAGTATCATGTGGGGCCTCCTGGCAGAGAGCCAGGGGAGGAGGTAGAGGAGGGCTGGGAGCTGCTGAGCCCTGTGAGTAAGGACATCCCCCGAGAGAAAGGATCACTATATTACCCCAACACCCATGACCCCACAGGGGCCTCCCCACAGTGTCGGAAGGGGGACATGGATGCTTTCCTAAAGTCAGAGGGATCAGATGGACAGGGTGAGGATCAGATCATTGAGGTGGATGGCTGGTGCCACCTACCCAAGTTCCCAGGCAAGGCCTCCAGAGGGAAAGACAAGGCCAGGCAGGGCTGCTGGGGGCTGCCTGAGGCAGAGGTGCGTCTGTTGGGGGCTCAGATCCTCCTGGCCCTGGAAAGTCTTCACCAGCAAGGTGTGGTGTGCCGAGACCTCAACCCAAAGAATATCCTGCTCACCAGCAATGGTTAGTCACCTAAATCACTTTAACCTGTTGTTGGTCTCTGTTTTTGGCATGAGTCTTGAAAATTCAACTAACTTTGATTGTGACATAATGTCATGTTTCTCACTAGGAAAGGTCTGCCTGACATTCTTTGGCCAGTGGAGTGAAGTTCAGTCAGAAATCAACTCTAAAGCTATGGAACAGATGTACTGTGCCCCAGGTGAAAACACTTTTTCAATGTCACATGTTACAACAGTTACACATAGGGTTCCTACCCTAGATATAAAGTGCCATCTAGTGGTGAGAGTCAGACATTTTGTTTGATCCATTAATAAATCTGTGAATAACAAGTTCTGTTTGTTGTTGGCCAACAGAGATTGGAGGTGTGTCCAAAATCACAGAGGCTTGTGATTGGTGGAGTCTGGGGGCATTGCTGATTGAACTTCTTACTGGAATGGTAAACAACATTCTATTGAATACCGGTAATCTGTTTTTCCATGATCTCTGTAGTAAATCCAAACCTGTATAGATTAATGACAATGCTGCCCACTAGGCCTGTTGATAATGTATATCTGTTGTTGGTGTCATTATCTAGGCATGGTTGTTTAATGAAACTGTATGCCTGTTCCTGTGCCTCCAGCCCCTGTGGCAGTTCCACCCAGCCAGGGTGCATTCTCACACCCAGCTCCTGATCCCAGACCACCTGAGTACTGCAGCCGCCTCCCTGCTCACTGAGGTAAGGCCTGTGTCCCCTTACACACCCATGTGGCCTGTACTTTAAGTACCGTAAACATATAAACACTTGCTGCTAGCCTGCTACCACAGATACACACAGCCACACACAGCCACACAAACTCATATCTTTCTGAATGAGTGACTATTGTATGTTCCACAGCTGCTGCAGTTTGATGCTGGTTATCGTTTGGGCTCTGGAGGCGGTGGTGTGAGTGACATCAAGTGTCACCCCTTCTTCAATGGTGTCTCCTGGAAGGCACTGTCGAGTTAACATGCCAACAGACTACCTGTGTAGACTACCTAGCCACTGCCCCCTTGTGGCTAAAATAATTGAAGCACCAGCTCTGGCTCTACTTCCTGAGCATCTTACTTCCCAAAGAAAGATGCTAGATTGATTAGAAGTGCAATTCAGAGGAGCAGACAAACAGCCAACATGCCAACCCTGCAACAACCAACCTCCATGTTTGAATGACAGAGGCTAGTGTAAACCTCACCTGGCCTTTTGACATATGGTAGGGCAAGATGTTTTAAAGACTAAAGTGTACTCTTTTTCAGCTGACTTTCGGGGTACTTCTGTTATTAATATACTGAACAAAAATATAAACACAACATGTAAAGTGTTGGTCCCATGTTTCATGAGCTGAAATAAAAGCCCCCAGAAATATTCCATACGCACAAACGTATCTCTCTCAAATGTTGTGATTTTTAAATTTAACATTCCTGTTAGTGAGCATTTCTCCTTTGCCAAGATAATCCATCCACCTGACATATCAAGAAGCTGATTAAACAGCATGATCATTACACAGGTGCACCTTGCGCTGGGGACAATAAAAGGCCACTCTAAAATGTGCAGTTTTGTCACACAACACAATGCCACAGATGTCTCAAGTTTTGAGGGAGCGTGCAATTGGCATGCTGACTGCAGGAATGTCCACCAGAGCTGTTGACAGAGACTTTAATGTTAATTTCTCTACCATAAGCCGCCTCCAACGTTGTTTTAGAGAATTTGGCAGTACGACCAGCCGGCCTCACAACCGCAAAATACGTGTAACCATGCCAGCCCAGGAATTCCACATCCTTCTTCACCTGCGGGATCGTCTGAAACCAGCCACCCAGACAGCTGATGAAACTGTGGGTTTGCGCAATCGACAGCCTGATCAACTCTATGTGAAGGAGATGTGTTGCACTGCATGAGGCAAATGGTGGTCACACCAGATACTGACTGGTTTTCTGATCCACGCCCGTACCTTTTTTTTAAAGGTACTGTATCTGTGACCAACAGATGCATATCTGTATTCCCAGTCATGTGAAATCCATAGATTAGGACCTAATGAATTTATTTCAATTGGTTGATTATGTTAAAATATTTGAAATTCTTGCATGTTGCGATTATATTTTTGTTCAGTGTATATCCATGCATATCATCCTTATCACCAAGCATGAAATGTTTTTCATTGTCAAACATTGACTACACAAATACTTTTTGGACCGTCAGCCAATGGCTGTGATAAACAGCTTCAACAATGAGGTTAATAAAAAGAAGCAATGCCTCGTTGCAGCGCTTGTCTTTGAAACACACTCATGGTGGGCATTTTTGCTTGGTCATCTGTACATGAGCTTTATGACTAGAAATGTCTACCACAGCTCAGACAGTCTACCCACTTCCTGACTTGAGCATGTGAAATTAAAACTTGAAACTGACTTGTGTAGTGGCTTGTCACTGGCATGCTTCTTTTAAATGTTTATTTTAGCTTCCAAGCCCTGGCAGCATCTATTTTAAACCACAACAGCCACCTGGTTTCTGAATTATTGTTATCATCAGTCATTTTGAGAGCATTCTGTAAAAAAGGCAAGTGTCTGTGTAAACAGTATACAACAAAAAAGATGGTTAAGATTTTGTTAAATACTTTTCTTAGGGTGTGCGTGAATCAGATTTTTTTTTAAAGGACCCACTGTGATTTCATCAGTGTAACAAAGCATAAAAACCTGTCCCATGTACCACATCTTAGGCGATAGTGTTCACTGTTTGCAGTCCATCTTATGATAAGTTACAATTGTTATTTTCTCAGCAAAAATAAATGAATACATAACTAAGCAAATTTCTTTTGCCATTTATATTACAATTATTTGACAAATATTTATTGTAGGTAGAAAATGGCAAATGGTGCTTTGAGTTGTACAACACCCTCTCCATCTCCAGACATATAGAACATTTAGCATAAATTCTTTCACTATTTCAGCCCATGCAATAAGTCCAATGCACCTTTCGCTCTCTTCAAGTATCCCTTTGTCTAGTTAACCAACAATAAATGTCATCAGGAGGAAGGGTATAGCCACTGTGTGTGAAGGGCGGTAGGGTGGTTTGTTGTGACTGCGGAGAGGCTGGCTCACATGTCCAGGAGCAGCACTCTGGGGTCTTCTACCACAGCCTTGATCTTACGCAGGAAGGTGACCGCCTCTCTGCCATCGATGAGCCGATGGTCATATGTCAGAGCCACGTACATCATGGGGCGGATCTCCACCTGCAGCAGAGGAGGAAGAGCTTCAGAGACAAACAAATAATGCTTCCTGTCTCTATTCCACATCTGATAAGGGGGTCTCCTGAGATATGAGTATAATATATGGAGTAATTCAAAGTCTACAGAACAGAGCCAACACCCACCTTGCCCCCGATGGCCACTGGCCTGTCGAAGATGCCATGCATGCCCAGGATGGCAGACTGCGGAGGGTTGATGATGGGCGTGCCAAACATGGATCCAAATACGCCACCGTTGCTGATGGTGAAGGTGCCTCCATCCATGTCTTCCACGGCCAGCTCATTCTTACGGGCCTGCAATCAACATCAACTTAGAAAATGCACAACAAAGTACAGCGAAACAGAGCATATCCTTGTTCTCCTACTTTCTCCCCCAGCTCATTGATGGTCTTCTCGATGTCAGTGAAATTCATTCCCTCCACTCCACGTATCACAGGCACCACCAGGCCCTGGGAGACAGGACGAATGAGATATTCAGATTTTCGGTTCATGTATATTAGCCCTGTTGTAAATGTGTTAAAAGTGAATAGCCAAACATTGGCATTACCTTTGGTGTTGCTACAGCCACACTGATGTCTACGTAGTCCCTGTACACAATCTCTTTGGTGGTGTCATCAATTACTAAAAAGAGAAAAGGTGTGAAAATAGGTTTTAAACATTTAAAATACTGTAACTAATTAACTTTAAATATTGCTTTAGCTTCTATGATTCACTTCCTTGAAGCATATAGTGTTTTTTCTGTCTGTGGGAGGGGAAACCCACAGACAATTTTAGCCACAACCTCCTTGGCTGTGGCTAGTTTAAATAGGCCAGAGAGGCCTTGGTGGAGTACATAACTACAATGTGGTTCTGAAGTTTGTCTATGTAAGAGGCAAAAACTTAAATTGCGTTCTTGTTCTTATCCACAATACGCCTGATACCAGTGGATGCTACATTTGTTTTGCCATATTCAGATTGATATGACAAGTTAAAGTGACTTTGGGTAAAGGAAAGCATACCTCCGTTGACGGAAGGCTGGTCCATCAGAGCGTATGCTGAAGCCTTGACAAAGGCAGACATGAAGCCCAGCTTGATGTTGTGTTTCTTCAGGAAAGCGTCTTTGTAGGCCTTCCTCATCTCACTGATGTTGCTGTGGACAGAAACTAGACCGTCAGAATGCTGCTGTCCTAACCAACACCCAGTATATGTACTAAATAAATCGACAATACTGAAATACATTTTTCATAGACATCTCTGATATTGATGGACAGCACAAACATGCATTACTCTCTCAATCTTTTCAACCAAGCCTAAAAACAATACATACAGTGCATTCGGAAAGTATTCAGACCCCTTGACTTTTTCCACATTTTGTTACGTTACAGCCTTATTCGAAAATGTATTAAATTATTTTTTCTCCTCATCAATCTACACGCAACACCCCATAATGACAAAGCAAAAATAGGTTTTTAGAAATGTAAAAAAATTAATTAAATAAAACGGAAATATTACATTTGCATAAGTATTCAGACCCTTACTCAGTACTTTGTTGAAGCACCTCTGGCAGCGATTACAGCCTCGAGTCTTCTTGGGTATGACGTTACAAGCTTGGCACACCTGTATTTGGGGAGTTTCTCCCATTCCTCTCTGCAGATCATCTCAAGCTCTGTCAGATTGGATGGGGAGCATTGCTGCACAGCTATTTTCAGGTCTCTCAAGAGATGTTTGATTGGGTTCAAGTCAGGGCTTTGGCTGGGCCACTCAAGGACATTCAGAGACTTGTCCCGAAGCCACTCCTGCGTTGTCTTGGCTGTGTGCTTAGGATAGTTATCAGAATGGCGCTGAAGGAGATGGCTGCCGTTTTACGGGCTCCTAACCAACTGTGCTATTGTGTGTATTTTTTCACGTTATTTTTAACTTATTTTGTACATAATGTTTCTGCCACCGTCTCTTATGACCGAAAATAGCTTCTGGATATCAGGACAGCGATTACTCACCTCGTACTGGACGAGTCGGACGCAAAGGATTTTCTTCAGACACCCGATATGGCCCATAATACCCGTCATTCACATGAGAAAGAGACTGAGATATCGGGGACGTAGGTCGGGGTGCCTTGTAAGGATCAGACGTCGAGTGCGTAATCTGCCTCTACCATCAGTCCTATTAGCCAACGTACAATCATTGGATAACAAAATAGACTAAGATCACGTATAGCCTACCAACGGGACATTTAAAAACTGTAATATCTTATGTTTCACCGAGTCGTGGCTGAACGATGACATGGATAACATACAGCTGGTGGGATATACACTGCATCGGCAAGATAGAACAGCTGCCTCCGGTAAGACAAGGGGTGGCGGTCTGTGTATATTTGTAAACAACAGCTGGTGCACGAAATCTAATATTAAGGAAGTCTCAAGGTTTTGCTCGCCTGAGGTAGAGTATCTCATGAGCTGTAGACCACACTATTAACCAAGAGAGTTTATCTATATTTTTCGTAGCTGTCTATTTACCACCACAAACCGATGCTGGCACTAAGACCGCACTCAATGAACTGTATACGGCCATAAGCAAACAGGAAAACACTCATCCAGAGGTGGCACTCCTAGTGGCCTGGGACTTTAATGCAGGGAAACTTGAATCCGTTTTTACCTCATTTCTACCAGCATGTTAAATGTGCAACCAGAGGAAAAAAACTCTTGACCCCCTTTACTCCACACACAGAGACACGTACAAAGCTCTCCCTCGCCCTCCATTTGGCAAATCTGACCATAACTCTATCCTTCTGATTCCTGCTTACAAGCAAAAACTAAAGCAGGAAGCACCAGTGACTCGGTCAATAAAGAAGTGGTCAGATGACACAGATGCTAAACTACATGACTGTTTTGCTAGCACAGACTGGAATATGTTCAGGGATTTTTCCGATGGCATTGAGGAGTACACCACATCAGTCACTGGCTTCATACCCCAACCAGAAGCCATGGATTACAGGCAACATCTGCACTGAGCTAAAGGGTAGAGCTGCCGCTTTCAAGGAGAAATCCCGCTATTCCCTCCGACGAAACATCAAACAGGCAAAGAGTCAATACAGGACTAAGATTGAATCGTAATACACCGGCTCCGACGCTCGTCGGACGTGGCAGGGCTTGCAAACTATTACAGACTACAAAGGGAAGCACAGCCGTGAGCTGCCCAGTGACACAAGCCTACCAGACGTGCTAAATTACTAATATGCTCACTTCGAGGCAAGCAACACTGAAGCATGCATGAAAGCATCAGCTGTGCCGGACGACTGTGTGATCACGCTCTCCGTAGCCGATGTGAGTAAGAACTTTAAACAGGTCAACATTCACAAGGCCGCAGGGCCAGACGGATTACCAGGACGTATGCGCTGACCAACTGGCAAGTGTCTTCACTGACATTTTCAACCTGTCCCTGACTGAGTCTGTAATACCAACATGTTTCAAGCAGACCACCATAGTCCCTGTGCCCAAGAACACTAAGGTAACCTGCCTAAATGACTACCGACACGTAGCACTCACGTCTGTAGCCATGCAGTGCTTTGAAAGGCTGGTCATGGCTCACATCAACACCATTATCCCAGAAACCCTAGAGCCACTCTAATCTGCATACCGCCCCAACAGATCCACAGATGACGCAATCTCTATTGCACTCCACACTGCCCTTTCCCACCTGGACAAAAGGAACACCTACGTGAGAATGCTATTCATTGACTACAGCAAAGTGTTCAACACCATAGTGCCCTCAAAGCTCATCACTAAGCTAAGGACCCTGGGACTAAACACCTCCCTCTGCAACTGGATTCTGGACTTCCTGACGGGCCACCCCCAGGTGGTAAGTGTAGGTAACAACACATCTGCCACACTGATCCTCAACACGGGGGCCCCTCAGGGGAGCGTGCTCAGTCCCCTCCTGTACTCCCTGTTCACCCATGACTGCATGGCCAGGCACGACTCCAACACCATTTAGTTTGCCGATGACACAACAGTGGTAGGCCTGATCACCAACAACGATGAGACAGCCTATAGGGAGGAGGTCAGAGACCTGGCCGTGTGGGGCCAGGATAACAACCTCTCCCTCAACGTGATTAAGATAAAGGAGATGATTGTGGACTACAGGAAAAAGAAGAGGACCGAGCACGCCCCAATTCTCATCGACGGGGCTGTAGTAGAGCAGGTTGAGAGCTTCAAGTTCCTTGGTGTCCACATCACCAACAAGCTATCATGGTCCAAACACACCAAGACAGTCGTGAAGAGGGCACGACAAAGCCTATTCCCCCTCAGGGGATTGAAAAGATTTGGCATGGGTCCTCAGATCCTCAAAAAGTTATACAGCTGCACCATCAAGAGCATCCTGACTGGTTGCATCACTGCCTGCTATGGCAACTGCTCGGCCTCCGACCGCAAGGCACTACAGAAGGTAGTGCGTACGGCCCACTACATCACTGGGGCCAAGCTTCCTGCCATCCAGGACCTCTATACCAGGCGGTGTCAGAGGAAGGCCCTAGAAATTGTCAAAGACTCCAGCCACCCTAGTCATAGACTGTTCTCTCTGCTACCGCACGGCAAGCAGTACCAGAGCGCCAAGTTTAGGTCCAAAAGGCTTCTTAACAGCTTCTACCCCCAAGCCACAAGACTCCTGAACAGCTAATCAAATGGCTACCCGAACTATTTGCATTGTTCCCCACCCCCACCCCCTCTTTTACGCTGCTACTACTCTCTGTTTATTATATATGCATAGTTACTTTAACTCTACCTACATATACATATTACCTCAATTACCTCGACTAACCTGTGCCCCCGCACATTGACTCTGTACCGGTACCCCCTGTATATAGCCTAGCGACTGTTATTTTACTGCTGCTCTTTTATTATTTAAATTTTTTACTTAACACTTATTTTTCTTAAAACTGCATTGCTTGTAAGTAAGCATTTCAGTAAGGTCTACACCTGTTGTATTCGGCGCATATGACAAATAAAATTTGATTTGAGAAGGTGAACCTTTGCCCCAGTCTGAGGTCCTGAGCACTCTGGAGCAGGTTTTCGTCAAGGATCTCTCTATATTTTGCTCCGTTCATTTTTCCTCAATTCCATGATTCACTGTAGGGATGGTGCCAGGTTTCCTCCAGATGTGATGCTTGACATTAAAGCCAAAGAGTTCAATCTTGGTTTCATCAGACCAGAGAATCTTGTTTCTGAGAGTCTTTGGGTGCCTTTTGGCAAACTCCAAGCGGGCTGTCATGTGCCTTTTACTGAGGAGTGGCTTCCGTCTGGCCACTCTACCATAAAGAACTGATTGGTGGAATGCTACAGAGATGGTTGTCCTTCTGGAAGGTTCTCCCATCTCCACAGAGGAACTCTACAGCTCTGTCAGAGTGACCATTGGGTTCTTGGTCACCTCCTTGACCAAGGCCCTTCTCCCCAAATTGCTCAGTTTGGCCGGGCGGCCAGCTCTAGGAAGAGTCTTGGTGGTTCCACACTTCTTCCATTTAAGAATGATGGAGGCCACTGTGTTCTTGAGGACTTTCAATGCTGCAGAATTGTTTGGTACCCTTCCCCAGATCTGTACCTCGACCCAATCCTGTCTCAGAGCTCTACGGACAATTCCTTCGACCTCATGACTTGGTTTTTGCTCTGACATGCACTGTGAACTGTGGGAACTTATATAGACAGGTGTGTGCCTTTCCAAATAATTTCCAATCAATTGAATTTACCACAGGTGGACTCCAATCAAGTTGTAGAAACATATCAAGGATGATCAATGGAAACAGGATGCACCTGAGCTCAATTTCGAGTCTCATAGCAAAGGGTATGAATACTTATGTAAATAAGGCTTGTTTTTAAATTGTAATAAATGTGCAAAAAATTCTAAAAGCCTGTTTTCACTTTGTCATTATGGGTTATTGTGTGTAGATTGCTGAGTTTTTTTTTAATTTAACCCATTTTAGAATAAGGCTGTAACGTATCAAAATGTGGAAAAGGTCAAGGGGTCTGAATACTTTCCGAAGGCACTGTATTTTTCTGTCAAAGTTCAGCTTCTCCAGGTCATGGTGATTGAGTGCTATTGACACTGGGCTGCTAATGTTACACCATTGCTCATTTCTCCTCTGTATGATGAAGAAGGGCTCTTATATCTCACTTTTTAATTGTTTGTTTTCCTGTCTCTAACCCGGTTTAAACTCTAGGGTTTCTCCCCTAACGGCATTAGCCCCTCCCAAGACACGCACTCTCCGAGAAAGGAGAGAAGAAGCGATAAAAATCTTCACTTTCCAAACCCTCCAAATCTTATTGGCCTGTCATAAAAGCCCATATCGGTTGAGGCAGCTCGTCCACTCAGAGCACAGGTCTCTGTGGGCCCCAGTAGATGCTCTGGCCTCCTGCTCTGGCTGCTCCTTCAGCTCCAGATGAGCCCAGGCCTGGAAGTCTTCCTCCAGACCATCAATGCCAATTCAATTAGGATGCACAGAAACCCCTGAATAGCTGAAAGCTGACACCCCACATTTGCACAGAAAAGAAATCCTCAAAGTGTCATCTTCAGCACAGGGGGCAAACATGGGCACTAACATTTCCTTGTAAATTAATAAAGCCCCCGTTTTAACAAATCTTATCTTTGTTTTCACCAACATTAGAACCAAATATTTACATTCCATCATTTAAGAGGGGATCAGGTTTTCCTATTGAGCAGATTCCAATCTATAACCATTGTCTGTATGGCCTCAGCTTGAATAACATAGATAAGTATAGCATTTCTTTACTTTTGACCTGACTTTATTCAGACATTTATTTTAGATACACGATTTATATTTCCAGATAAGATATATAATCCCTAATATAAATGTATACATTAATATAAGTGAATCTGTTTCACTGAAAGTGTACTGCTAATGTTTAATATGTGGTGGATGAGTAATCATCTCCCTTAAGAACCATTTCCTTTCTAATAATGTTAATACAGCTAGAGGGCCAACTACTCTGTTATTTCCTACCTCATGTCGACCTCATTAAATGTTGTCAACATAGCGCAGGTGTTCTGGGCTTCCTTCAGTCTCTGGGCGATTCTCAGACGCATACGGTTCATTTTCACCTGAGATAGAAAATACACACCAAAAACAAAAAACTATTTTAAGAATTTCTCAAAATATTTTATCTGAAGAAAAAAACTAAAACACTGCCACAACAGCTATGCATACTAGCATATACTGTTTATTATTATTATTTGTGTTTACTCTACGAACACCACCTACGATCTCAACCATTGTGAATAATCTAGGTCCTTTACTGCAGTATTTCCTGATTATGATGCCTCACCCTGTGCTCTGTCCTGGCTGGTTTACCCCCTCCATCTGCAACAGCGGCTGGGGCAGCAGTGGGTTTGATGGCTGAAACTGTGTCAGACAGACAGGGGAACAGGAGCTGTTAATGCCTCACCACCTCCATTTATCCATTAGCAATTGTCACTGTCAACAGGCAAGGGCTAAGTGATTTATTCCATTTCCATAATCAACAGTGCACACAGGTCAGGCTAAATACCTCTCATGACATTGAGTCCACTGAGTGGCCGGCTTACAGACTAAGCTCCAAAATTGCCTAACCTGGAGGCCTGTGTTTCAGACATAAGGAAGTGGATGGTGGGAATTGTTTTACTTTTAAAAACCTTGACCACACAGAGATGCTAGTTCAAGGTCCCAAGAAACAAAGAGATCTGCTGTTTGATCTAAACAATGAATCTTGATGGTTGTAGAGTCGTCTAAAAAAAAACGGTGAAGGACCTCGACGTTACTCTGGACCCTGATCTATCTTTTGATGAACATATCAAGAACATTTCAAGGGCAGCTTTTTTCAATTTTCGCAACATTGCAAAAAATCTGAAACTTTTTTTGCAAAAAAAAGCTATTCCATGCTTTTGTCACTTCTAGATTAGACTACTGCGATGTTCTACTCTCCGGCTACCCGGATAAAGCACTAAATAAACATCAGTTAGTGCTAAATACGGCTGCTAGAATCTTCACTAGAACCAAAAAATGTGATCATATTATTCCAGTGCTAGCCTCTTTCCACTGGTTTCCTGTTAAGGCTAGGGCTGATTTCAAGGTTTTACTACTAACCTACAAAGCATTACATGGACTTGCTCCTACCCATCTCTCCGATTTGGTCCTGCTGTACATACATTGACATTTTAGTCATTTAGCAGACGCTCTTATCCAGAGCGACTTACAGTTTTTTAGTGAGTGCATACATTTTCATACTGGCCCCCCGTGGGAATAGAACCCACAACCCTGGCGTTGCAAACGCCATGCTCTATCAACTGAGCTACACGGGACATACCTAGAAGTACGCTACGGTCACAAGACTCAGGCCTCCTTATTGTCCCTGGAATTTCTAAGCAAACAGCTGGAGGTAGGGCTTTCTCCTATAGAGCTCAATTTTGATGGAATGGTCTACCTATCCATGTGAGAGACGCAGACTCGGTCTCAACCTTTAAGCTAGGGTCAGTCTGTCCTATCTGGTGTAATTCTCCTGTCTTACCTGGTGTCCTGTGTGAACGCATGTATGCTCCCTCTAATTTCCTTCTCTCTCTCTCTTCTCTTAACAATGTTTGAACATCTTGAAGAATGATCTGGCCTTAATGGCCATGTACTCTTATAATCTCCACCCGGCACAGCCAGAAGAGGACTGGCCACCCCCCAGAGCCTAGTTCCTCTCTAGGTTTCTTCCTAGGTTCCTGCCTTTCTAGGGAGTTTTTCCTAGCCACCGTGCTTCTACATCTGCATTGCTTGCTAATTGGGGTTTTAGGCTGGGTTTCTGTATAAGCACTTTGTGACATCTGCTGATGTAAAAAGGGCTTTATAAGTAAATGTGATTGATTGATTAACCTGGTGTGGCAGAGATGGCAGCTCCTGGCACGGGTGGCACGGCGGGCATAGTGGTGGGGATGGGGCCCACTGCAGAGGGAGCAGGGGAGGGAGGTGTGGCAGCAGCAGGGGGTGGAGGGACTGCTACTGCTGAAGCCTCTGCAGCTTGGGCAGCAACAGCTGAGGAGAGAAAGTTATAAGAATGCACATCAGGCAAGATTAACACTAGACAATAGCACATTTGTTTACTGTGTAGGTAAATATAATCTAATACCTCCGTAAACACGACATCTACCATGTGTCTTGAATTGATGGAATTTAGAAGATGTTTTATTATTTTTTATTGGGTCCTCCAACATTAACATGCCACACTCAAGTCAGACCAGTGGAGGATGTGCCGACCATATACCTGGTAAACTCAGTGGTACTGACCTCCTTTTCGGAGTTTGAAGAGAGCCTGTCCTCCCTCGACCTTCTCCCCATCAGGGACCAGCAGCTCCTCAATCACCCCAGCAGCAGGAGACGGCACCTGCACTGATGTCTGTGGAGCGAGACAAACCATTGCAGACCATGCATGATACAACAAACTATCCTTAGATCTGTTATTAACAAAAAAACAGTCAACCCTATTAGTCTATTACAATATAGGCTGTTGTAAAAATTGAATTTCAAAAGGTGAGTTATTCCGTGACCATAAACAATAGACTTCCAGAGCTGTCATACCTTGTCCGTCTCAATTTCACAAACCACCTCATCCTCTTTGACAGAGTCACCAACCGCTGCAAGGAGAGAGTTCCATTTAGCGTGGCTAACAGAAATATCTACCGGCTGCAGCCAACATGTAAATGAGCCCAAAGAACAGACACAAACTAAATAAGCCTAAGTTACTGTACCTTTCTCCCACCTCACATCCCCCTCTGTGACTGACTCTGCAAACGCAGGTGTCTTTACTGTGATGACTTCATTCCCTAGAAGACAGACCACACAATATTGACTTCATACAACTCCTGTAGTATTATACAGAATAACATTACTGCTCAGATCACAAGGGTCAAATAAAGGGAGAAGAGTCGAAGCCGATACATACTGCAAGCTGAAGATGTCTTGAAGTATCTGATTTGGAAGACGCTGGACCTGGCTTCGCATTTCCTACAGATAAACACAGTGTCAATATAGAAAGTCCAACTGCACATTACGAGGCTAAAACACAGCTGAAGCCATGCTCTAATGAGAAGACGGAGGTCAATGGTGTATCGATAATACTTACGCAGGGTTGTTGACTATGACACTACGGCTAGCTGACAGTCCTGCAGCAGAGATGACAAAAGTAAATCACTCACTTCTAGTGCAGAATCTAAAACTACTTCATACAGGCAAGAGCTGGGTTCTACTACTGTGATTTACAGTGCCTTCAGAAAGTATACAGACCCCTTGACTTTTTCCACATTTTGTTACGTTACAGCCTTGTTCTAAAATTGGTTAAATATTATTTTTTTCTCAGCAATCTACACACAATACCCCATAATGACAAAGTGAAAACAGGTTTCTAGATCTTTTTGCAAATGTATTAAAAATAAAAAACTGAAATACCTTATTTACATAAGTATTCATACCCTTTGCTATGAGACTCGAAATTGAGCTCAGGTGCATCCTGTTTCCATTGATCATCCTTGAGATGTTTCTACAACTTCATTGGAGTCCACCTGTGGTAAATTCAATTGATTGGACATGATTTGGAAAGGCACACACCTGACTATATAAGGTCCCACAGTTGACAGTGCACGTCAGAGCAAAAACCAAGCCATGAGGTTGAAGGAATTGTCCATACAGCTCCGAGACAGGATTGTGTCGAGGCACAGATCTGGGGAAGGGTACCAAAAAATGTCTACAGCATTGAAGGTCCCCAAGAACACAGTGGCCTCCATCATTCTTAAATGTAAGAAGTTTGGAACCACCAAGACTCTTCCTAGAGCTGGCCGCCCGGCCAAACTGAGCAATCGGGGGAGAAGGGCCTTGGACAGAGCTCTAGAGTTCCTCTGTGGAGATGGGAGAACCTTCCTGAAGGACAACCATCTCTGCAGCACTCCACCAATCAGGCCTTTATTGTAGAGTGGTCAGACGGAAGCCACTCCTCAGTAAAAGGCACATGACAGCCCGCTTGGAGTTTGCCAAAAGGCCCCTAAAGACTCTCAGACCATGAGAAAGAAGATTCTCTGGTCTGATGAAACCAAGATTGAACTTTTTGGCCTGGAAGAAACCTGGCACCATCCCTACGGTGAAGTATGGTAGTGGCAGCATCATGCTGTGGGGATGTTTTTCAGCGGCAGGGACTGGGAGACTAGTCAGGATTGAGGGAAGGATGAACGGAGCAAAGTACAGAGAGATCCTTGATGAAAACCTGCTCCAGAGCACTCAGGACCTCAGACTGGGGCGAAGATTCACCTTCCAACAGGACAATGACCCTAAGCACACAGCCAAGACAACGCAGGAGTTGCTTCGGGACAAGTCTCTGAATATCCTTGAGTGGCCCAGCCAGAGCCCTGACTTGAACTCGATCTAACATCTCTGGAGAGACCTGAAAATAGCTGTGCAGCAACGCTCCCCATCCAACCTGACAGAGCTTGAGAGGATCTGCAGAGAGGAATGGGAGAAACTCCCCAAATACAGGTGTGCCAAGCTTGTAGCGTCATACCCAAGAAGACTTGAGGCTGTAATCACTGCCAAAGGTGCTTCAACAAAGTACTGAGTAAAGGGTCTGAATACTTATGTAAATGTACATTTCTGCTTTTTATCTTTTATAAATTTGCAAAAATGTCTAAAAACCTGTTTTTGCTTTGTCATTATGGGGTATTGTAGGTAGATTGAGGTAAAAAAAAAAAAAAAAAAAAAAAAAAAAAAAAATCAATTTTAGGATAAGGCTGTAATGTAACAAAATGTGGAAACAGTCAAGGGGTCTGAATACTTTCCGAATGCACTGTACATGCAGTTTCAAAACACACTCACCTGACACAGCCTGCCGTGCCAAGACATTGTTTCCCTGTCATAGAGAACAGCAACCTGTTAGCTATCAATATAAAGTGTTTATTAAACAATTCAAAATAATCTACTCCAGATGTGATGTTGTTCAGGTGGTTTACAGTAGAATTCACAGACATAGTTTTAAAAAGTTGAAGTACTCAAATGGCTCATATCATATGCCACTGACTGTATTCCCCACTTCCAAAACAAGGGGGTGAATATGCATAAAATCAACAACAGGTGTTTGTTACCAAGGATCATGTTTTTACAATGTCCACATGCAGGGGTGAAACTTTCACTCCCCCACATTCTGAAATTGCAAACTGGGACATACTGTTCTTTAGCTCCCCAGTCAAAGGTCAGTGTAGTGGTGGTAGGGGGAGGTCAACATACATGTGTGTTGGACCAATCAGTGAATTCAACACATGGAAACAATGTAGACATAAGGTCTACTACACTAGGGGATAACTAGCTACTATAATGTAATATATGACCAAGTGAAAATAGATTGAATAGAGGGCTTTCTTATCTGTGTGTGAAAGTTCAACTTCAGACCGATCTGTTTATCTTTTGCTAAGACAGTCAATAGAGGGGTGATGTAACTTTGAAGAGGGAATTCGAACATCATGTGCAATGTAAAGTTAATTTCAATAAAAATGTATCTAGCTAGGCTAAATATAAGTCTTCATCATTATACAAATTGTTACTGGTATGTGTGCTAGCCAAAACTCTCAAATGACCTCAGATTGTTTCCAAGAGGCAAGCTAGCTAAGTTAGCTAGCTAAATAAACCACTGGTTGACTAACGAACAAGTTAGCAAGTGAAACCAAAAATGTTAGCTAACAAATCAGATTAGCTACATGGGAGAGACTACTTTAGAATTCAAAATCGGTTTGAACCAAACAGGGTGTCAGGCTGTCCTTGGCTTGACAATGCGAAGAAGGCCTACCATGGCCTCTACTGCTCGCACCGGCGGCGCCACACTCTAGCTAGCGAGCTAACGTTAGCATTGGCAGCAGCATGGATGAATCTACCCGTGCGATCACAGAAAACACTCAAGTTTGCCAATGGTATAATGCTTACCTGACGAATGACAGAGATGGAACGACCAAAATTCCGGGTGACACACCGGGAGTGGGATAACATGGTAGCTGTAGTGACAGCAACCTGTCCGCGGGAGGGAATCTCCTTCAGCACACCAAGCTGGGTCGTCACTAGTTACCACAGCCACAAAGTCATGAACCCCGCCTATTTCTAAAATGTATCTTGTGATTTTATTAAACCTAACGCTAACCTTAACCACACTGCTAATTTTTGTTTTCATGAATTTTTATGATATAGTCCATTTTGACATTGCGGCTGTGGTAACTAGTGGAAACCCAAAACTGCTAAATCCAGCGGAAGCAGTGTGGGACTGGGAGGAACCAGCTAAAGAGTGGAGTGATCGGAGTGATCAAAGTCTGTCCCAAAGAGGATTCACCGTGGAAAAGCTAGTGGCATGAGTGGGAATGAATGAGCTACAATAAAATAGCTTAATGTATATATATTTTCTGTTGTATTTTTGACTTTATGTTTTGTTTACCCCATATGTAACTCTGTGTTGTTGTTTTTACCGCACTGCTTTGCTTTATCTTGGCCAGGTCGCAGTTGTAAATGATAACTTGTTCTCAACTGGCTTACCTGGTTAAATAAAGGTGAAATAAAAAATAAATAAAAAATGTCTTATATTTATTCATCTAGATTTGGCTAAATATAATTACATAAAACGATTATACATTCGTCTTTTTATGACAGTTTATTCATGTGTAATATAACTTTTAAAATATGGTAACATGACCATATGATATTCAATTTAGCAGACGCTTTTATCCAAAGCGACTTACAGTAATGCGTGCACACATTTTACATATGGTATGTGATTTCTTCTAGTCAGTGCCTAAACAAACTATGAGTTCACCACAAATTGTAGCCTAGATTTTTTTTCCATTCCATAATCAGTTTTCTTGCAAATTGTCCTCTAACTCACCACTCAGAATTTTTATTTTATTTTTATTTTATTTTATTTTACAATGACGGCCTACACCGGCCAAACTCGGACGACGCTGGGCCAATTGTGTGCCGCCCTATGGGACTCCCAATCACCGCCGGTTGGGATACAGCCTGGAATCGAACCAGGGGGTCTGTAGTAATGCCTCAAGCACTGAGATGTAGTGCCTTAGACCGCTACATAGATTTGTTGTAAATTAGGGGAAAACATGATATATGAAACAACTAACTTGAGCTCAACTAATTTGCATTGAAGAGTTATTTTGAATGACAATCCTTTATATGCTTGTCTCTTTTCACTTTCCAAGTTGTTTGAGTCAACTCAGAGGCCACGCCTCTGTTTCTGTTTGATACATTGACAGTCGCTCCCGCACTCATCTCATCTCATCACTCTGCGTATAACCCGACCCGACTCTACTCAACATAACAGGTAAGGTCCGCATGCTTTGTGTTCTTTTACTTTGGGACATGCTCATGATGACAACCAATCCTAAATAACTCAGATGCATCCAGTATGAAAAATGTATGCACTCACTAAAACTGTAAGTTGCTCTGGATAAGAGCGTCTGCTAAATTACTAAAATGTAAAATCCTTAGTTTCAAAGATTTCATCAATGTTGAATACTGTACGTTTTTTTTTGTTTCTATCAATAATTCAGTGAATAAAGGCACGTTTATTTGGTATTTTATGGTGATGGTAGGCTAATTGATCAAACATTTGATAAACAAGAACTCTCAACTTATCTCATCATCAATGAGCACATATAGACTACTTTTCATTACAGATACAAGCTGCACTGTAACAGTTTGTAATGTTTGTCTTGTGAAAACATATTAATATTGATTATATTGATTATAATTTTATGGATAGTTTAGTCATTTCCATGCAGATTGATGTATAGGCTATTTGGTATTATGGTAGAATATCTTGCCTCGTTTAGGATTGATCCAAAGGAAAGTACTTCATAATGTACCTTTTATCATGAGTTGCCTAAAGAATAAGAGATATTAGATAGCCTTACCTTACTATATATTAAATAGACTAGCCTTACTAAAAGTTGCAAGGAGGGTTTCCATCAAATAAAGAAGATGAAATAATTATGAAATAATCCTTCTTCAAACTGTAAATCAATCTGCTCTTCAGTCATATACCAGGTATACAATGTGGAATGTGCTGTAAATTATGACACCTGGGATATGTGCTGTATGTGGAATATGAATGACTTCACTGTTTATTAAGGATGCCTAGTATTTCTATTTTTCTGTTGTTTTGTCCTCCTAGTGGTCAGAAGATGCTCTTTAGTTAGCTTTTATTGTGTTTTATCCCCTCATAAATTGTTATTGAAAAAAAAATGATTCATGTTATTGGCTCTAGGCTTATGGTTATTTTGGACTTATATAAAACTAGAGATCTATGGTGTGAGGACTAGGTGAAATAGAAATATATCAAATGTGGATCTCTCATACACAAATTCATTGTTTTGTTTTTATAGACTGAAAGTCTGTCATTTGTAATGTGTAGTTAAAGGTGAATAAGTGGTCAATTCGAACCATGCATGTTTTCACCAGGATATATTTTTACTAGCCAACTTAACCTATTGTTTTTACAGAGATTTTAAAACAATGCATACATGGTCCACACATCGGAATAAAATCCACTTACTAAGAAACTACAATTTTACGCAATTGAGAGATGAAAAGATTAATTTATTTATTTTCCTCTTAATTATATACAGGTAACTGCCAAAATAAAGGAAACACCAACATAAAGTGTCTTAAAGGGGCGTTGGGCCACCATGAGCCAGAACTGCTTCAATGCACCTTGGCATATATTCTACAAGTGTCTGGAACTATATTGATGGGATGCTACACCATTCTTCCACGAGAAATTCCATAATTTGGTGTTTTGTTAATGGTGGTGGAAAATGCTGTCTCAGGCGCCGCTCCAGAATCTCCCATAAGTGTTCAATTGGGTTGAGATCTGGTGACTGAGACAGCCATGGCATATGGTTTACATCGTTTTCATGCTCATCAAACCTTTCAGTGACCACTCGTGCCCTGTGGATGGGGGCATTGTCATCCTATGGGGGCATAGCCATGGTAGCCAAAATAATGGCCAAAATAATTATCTGACAAGTATTTTTATACATGACCCTAAGCATGATGGGATGTTAATTGTTTAATTAACTCAGGAACCACAAGTGTGGAAGCACCAGCTTTCAATATACTTTGTATCCCTCATTTACTCAAGTGTTTCCATTATTTTGGCAGTTACATTTACATTGAACCTTTGTGTGGTTTTTCAGACTATTTTCTTGCCTTTCATATACTGATTAAAGAATACCTTTCATGAGTATACATTTGTTATTCTTTTTATCATTCATATTGACTATCTCCAACCCAAGATAAAAGGGAGACACAAGTGTGCACTCCCCTGTGCCTTGAGATCTTAGAGATTTCTCTTATAAATCTGAGGGTCATTTGACATTCCATGCTATAAATATGTAATAACAACTTTGTTAGCTGAGGTAGTCATTATAAGATCCCAGATTAAATGTAATGTTTAAAAAATTTGAGGCTATTGCATTATATTTTATACTATTTTAAATAATAGTTTTTTTTTCTGTGGTGGTGGACATCACTGTTTTAAGCTCCTAACACAGGTGTCATAAGCATAATGGAAGGATGAGATTATTGTTTCCCCCAAAATGACATAGATTCAATCAACTCTGTTGAATATAATTTAAGTGGCATGTAATAGAGAAATGAGGGAGAGCTGTCTACTAACATTTAATAGCCGAAGTGTTCTGGTGCAAGTCCTCTGCTCTATGTTTTGTATGTTTAACTTGCACTTGTGCTTTCTACTTTCCCCAAAACATAACCATATGAATAAAAAATATTGTTAAGTGTGCTAGACTGTTCAGAGATATGCTGTGCTATAGATAGTGTACTGAATGAGAGATTTACGGTATATTCCTTTTTCCCCCTTTCCTTTTCTAGAGCAGTCTGTGATCCAGTCATCTCATCCTGACTCACTCCAAGGTGTCCTGACACAGCTAGTAAAAAGGTTGCACAGTGAGCATGAACCTGAGCCTCCCTGACCAGAACATGCACAACCCCAGTGACGGCGGTCTGGAGGATAACAAGGCTGAGTTCATGATCCCCTGCTTCCGCAGAAACATGTACGATGAGCCTCTAATCTCATACACCAATGGATCCATCATCTCTCACCTCCTGCGCAAAAACATCCACAACAAGAAGGCTCTGGACGAAAGCCACTTCTACCTACCCACATCGGCTGTCTCCAGCTCCACTATGGCTGACTCCAGTCAGGAGGACCAGAGCAGTGTCTCGTCCAAGGACAGCGCGGCAGAGTCTGCATCCCCAGGCAGGAACCTCTCGAACAGGGTCAGCCCTAAGGAGGACAGGCACCTGAGTGATCACCTCCAGGCCAAGCGTGCCCGTGTGGAGAACATCATCCGAGGCATGGCAGGGTCTCCCAACAGTAGGCTCCATGGGGACACTGAAAGGGCTGAGTCAGACACCAGGGAGGCTAGAGAGGCCTACAGGGAGAACAAACGCAAACAGAGGCTCCCCCAGCATCAGGAGCACAGTCTCAATGCGACAGCGCCGGCTAACAGAGGCAGCAGTAGCAGCAGCAGCAGTAGTAAGGATGAAGAGTTCCACAAGCTGAAGGTGCAGCTCCAGAGCATGCAGAGGCTCCTGAGACAGCTCCAGGAGAAGTTCTTGCAGGTTTATAACCAGGAAGACGCTGAGCGTGAAGACAGAGATGACACGGGCACAGCCAGCACTGCTGAAAAGGACGACACCACACCAAGAAAAGAGTCTGGGTTCATGTTCCGTATAAACATGGATGAGGAGTTAGAGAGGAAGCATGACAGTGCTAAAGGGGGCTGTAAGGACAGAGTGAAGACATACAAAAGTTATCTGACACATCAAAGGGAAGGCAAGAACCTACAGGAGACTCTGAAGCATGAGCTCTCCAAAGTGGTGAGTGAGAGTGTAGATAGGGTGTTCAAGAAACTCTCCTCCACGGGACTCAACCAGTCACCTCATCAGCGCATGTGTCACACCCCAGAGCACGTCATTATGGGAGCTGAGAGGAAGAGCCAGGTAGCCTGTAACCAGGAGCAATCACACACTGAGGAGCCAGTCAAACCCCAGGCTCTGGAGTACTATGAGAGCAGTGAGGCTCACAGTCCTGAGGATCAGACCGAGGCTCTGTCTCTAGTGGTCCTTAAGCCGCCCCTTAGGTCAGTTACCCCGACGGTGAAGAGGCCCTACCCCTTACACCAGTCTCCATTCCAGTTCAACTACAGCACACCTCTCCATGACAGTCAAATCCTGGAACACCTCCTCAAATACGGGCCACACACTAACTTCGGAGGTCTCCCATGCATGCCCCCATCCATGGACAGAACCTCCCCAAACTCGATGGAGCTGCCCTGGGATGCCATCACCATGAGGTCCAAAGTGACATCCAGCCACCTGGCCCACCACTCTCACCCATCAGGCCTGGGACCAGTGACCGTGGACAGTCTGTGTCTCCCTCACGTCAAGATGGAGTGTGGGGACCTGCAGAGCATGGCAGAGAGAAACTCCTACATGTCTCTCAATATATCCTTTTACTGGCATGAAAAATCTCTTACTGTCACAGTGGCCCAGTTAACCTCTGTAATTGCGTAGGATTTGATATAATTAATGGCTGTATGAATAAAATTGTATTATATTTTTTCCCACTAAGATGGCCTATAGAGCATTACATACACACTGAATCCTAAATGTTTAGTAATATTTTGTTATCTGATATATACCTTAGTATCCAGTACCTCAGTATTCAAACTACCTGTGTTTTGCCTTCCCAGTTGAACAATGACTTGTTGAGGTTCATTGCAGGATGAGCAGTTCCAGTAAAACAGACTTCAAGGAAACATTTTTCTTTGATCTCGCTAACCACAAAGAAAATTATAGCATCTTCTTTAATCTGAGCAGAGTAATGACTTTAAGTCTAGAAAAAGACAAATAAAAAGGAATACAAGGCTTTGATAAGAATTGTCCGGAACAAAAGCCAATTTTCAAAGGCAGAGAAAGCATCAGTTTCTGTCCAGGAAACAGTGCTTTTTTCAGACTTGAAAAGGTACAGAATATATTTCTCTATCATCAGTATGATAGGGGTGTATCTGAAAGGTCAGAGCTGAGTGCCTGTGGAAAGCAGAAGTGCCTCCCTACCAGAACACTTGTCTTCTTGAGCATACATACACAGCCATAAAAAAATATATATGTTTATAAAGTACATGAATGAGTACATTTTCTAAATTATGTTTTTGCAAAATAGAGAGACAAGCAATCTAAGAAATATAATCCAGTGAGAGTATTTTCAACCACACCACTCTGCATTTTATCACAATGAACTCTATTATTATGTTAACTATAATGATAATTATTAATATAATAACATGATCATAAGCAGCATAATATGTATTATGTCCATAATCACTGTTATAGAAAAACATCTAATATTCCTTGGCTGCTGCTGTTCATAATTTTTCGAAAATCGGATACGTTATAGAGACATTACAGGTAAACTGTAGTAAGGCAGCTCCTGTGTGATATTTATTACAGCTACTGAAGAACTCAAAGCTATGTGAAGATCCTTAACATGGTCCGAAGTGGTCATTGTCCTTGGTTGTAAGTATCTGGAGAAGAATATTATCAGCTCTCTCTCTCATGGTATGCTTTATCTTTACTATGGTTCTCTTTGAACAATTTCTCATCAATCTTTCATTCCAACTTCCTTATTTCAAGGTAGGATTCCCTAATAAATGTATGGTGTGCTGTAACCTGCTGATAAGGAAATATTAGCTAAGGCGTGGCTGTGGGCTACAGAGAGAAAGGCCTCTGAAGATCTAGTTGCATAGAAAAGTTGCATTGAGATATGATTTTATTTGTTACATGATGTATTTCATTTAATAAAACTAAATTGTTCCTCCCAAACTACTAATCTTTTACAGTTCAGAGGGATGATGTAAAACATAATTTATGAAAATACTATGCAGTGAAATTATTATTTTTTTTATGTTAAACAAGCAATTACTTTGATTAGTTTAATACAATTAAATAGCTGTAAAATGTCTTCAAAGATCAAGTAACTAGCTACTATTCAAAGCATTTTTTCAAACAATCACCATCACCACTGCTAAGCATTAGGTGTGTAAGAGCCGCAGTCACTAATTAAAATCCCTAATCTAATTCATAATGTTGTAGGGTCATTATTGACTTCCTGGTTACTGCAGAGCTGTTATTTAGTGTCATCCATTTTAACTGGAGACAGAAGCAACCTAGTATTCTAGTCCATTAACACTTTGTAAATTGTATTTGAACTGTATTGTGATTGTGATCGACTGACAATACTTGCGGCCTTAACACATTGACACATCCAGGAAGGTCTAACCCCCAACCATCTGAAGAAAGCTAAGCTGATGTTCTTCTACACCCGTTACCCCAGCTCCAATGTGCTGAAAACCTACTTTCCAGATGTCAAGGTAAGCAATCACAATATTATTTGTTCTATGTTCACCATATTTGCCTACAGAATACTTGTGGATGTATTTTTGGGACAGAATGAGAAGTGGGATGGAGGAAGGAAACAAAAGAATACATGGTTTAGAAAAACAAAGCTGTTAAGCCAGTAGCATGTCCTGGGGCATAGGCCAGGGAGATAGAGAGGCATTATTTATTTAAAAAGCCACTCCAGTCAGCAAATGGAGTGACAAAAGCCTCTGTAATAAAGCTACTGTCATTTGGCGTCAACACAGGGCAGGTTTTAAACATGCAGGCAGGCAGGCAGGCAGGCAGGCTGTGAGGCGAGCACTGGGCCTAACCACAGCATCCTGTATGTCTGTGTGCCCTGTGTGTCTCCTCTCCTGTCTCCTCTCCTTGCACCATGGCCGGGACATGTCCTGCTGGAGCCTGTCTGTGTCTGGCCCTGGCCTCCACACTACTCTATCTGACCCCTAAGGTCATGGGGGAGGCCTGCAGCCAGCAGCCTACTGCGTCTCCTCCTTGCCCACGACCCTGTGGTGGGAAGTGGCACTGAACAAAAGACAGTTCTAATCCTGGTGTCTGATTCCATCCTATCAGGCAGAGTCATTGAGAGGGAAGCTTCCTTCTGTCCTTACACTGCGCTGCGGCTTTCTCACCATCCGATAACACCAGAGAAAAGAAACGTCTTTGATGCCTGCCCAGCCCTTGGGTGTTTTTTTTTCTTTCTTTCTGGATGAAGAGATAGAATAAGAAGGCTAATGTCAAGACTGAGTTTAGAAATACACGGCTTTGACAGATGTTTTTTTTATTCAGTAAGTTGGTGGGAAAAGTTCAGAGCAATTAACGTTGAATAAAATGACAGACTAACGCGAAACATATCCATATACAATGCATACATAAATGTATTATCTTGTGGAAGAAGAAAAAGAAAAAAAGAAGATATATATTTCAAATCAAATCAAATCAAATTTTATTTGCCACATGGGCTGAATACAACAGGTGTAGACATTACAGTGAAATGCTTACTTACAAGCCCTTAACCAACAATGCAGTTATTTTAAGAAAAAGTAAAATAAAAAAGTAGCAGCAGTAAAATAAAATAACAGTAGGGAGGCTATATACAGGGGGGTACCGGTACAGAGTCAATGTGCGGGGGCACCGGCTAGTCAAGGTAATTAAGGTAATATGTACATGTGGGTAGAGTTAAAGTGACTATGCATAGATAATAAACAGAGTAGCAGCAGCGTAAAAGAGGGGGATGGAGTGGGGTGGGGGGGCAGTGCAAATAGTCCAGGTAGCCATGATTAGCTGTTCAGGAGTCTTATGGCTTGGGGGTAGAAGCTGTTGAGAAGCCTTTTGGACCTAGACTTGGCGCTCCGGTACCGCTTGCCGTGCGGTAGCAGAAATAACTATCTATGACTAGGGTGGCTGGAGTCTTTGACAATTTTTAGGGGCTTCCTCTGACACCACCTGGTATAGAGGTCCTGGATGTCAGGAAGCTTGTCCCCAGTGATGTACTGGGCCGTACGCATTACCCACTGTAGTGCCTTGCGGTCGGAGGCCGAGCAGTTGCCATACCAGGCGGTGATGCAACCAGTCAGGATGCTCTCGATGGTGCAGCTGTAGAACTTTTTGAGGATCTGAGGACCCATGCCAAATCTTTCAGTCTCCTGAGGGGGAATAGGCTTTGTCGTGCCGTCTTCACGACTGTCTTGGTGTGTTTGGACCATGATAGTTTGTTGGTGATGTGGACACCAAGGAACTTGAAGCTCTCAACCTGTTCCACTACAGCCCGATGAGAATGAGGATGAGGGTGTGCTCAGTCCTCTTTTTTTTTCCTGTAGTCCACAATCATCTCCTTTGTCTTGATCACGTTGAGGGAGAGGTTGTTATCCTGGCCCCACACGGCCAGGTCTCTGACCTCCTCCCTATAGGCTGTCTCATCGTTGTTGGTGATTAGGCCAACTTGATATCAAGATGTTCTGAAAAAAAACCTATGGGTAAAAACTGTGTCATAGTTATTTTTCATTATTGACATTCAAATCTAAACTGTGTCATCGGCAAACTTAATGATGGTGTTGGAGTCGTGCCTCCAACACCATCATTAAGTTTGCCGACGACACAGTTTAGATTTGAAAGTCAATAATGAAAAATAACTATGACACAGTTTTTACCCATAGGTTTTTTTTCCGAACATCTTGATATCAAGTTGATCATGATTTGGTTGATAAAGACAAAATCAGGCCATCTTCTCAAACTTGTTGTCGATCTTGTGTCTCCAGTTCAATCGCTGCATCACCTCTCAGCTCATCAAGTGGTTCAGTAACTTCCGGGAGTTCTACTACATCCAGATGGAGAAGTTTGCCCGCCAGGCCATAGTGGACGGGGTCACCGATGTGAAAGACATGTCCATCAGCAGAGACTCTGAGCTGTTCAGAGCCCTCAACATGCACTACAACAAAGCCAATGACTTCCAGGTAAGTCAAAATACTTGTATCTTACCATATGGTCAGCTCCTCCCCTGGTATCCAATGTAACTATATACTTTATATAAGCTTGTCAATGTTTTTCCATGACTTTTAAATGATTAGATATTACATTAACATTCTCCCTTTCCAAAGTAAATTGAGCGAATTATGTTTATGTATGGGAACCGTGTGTTCATTCTGCTTTCATCAGCACTCCTCAGTTTATGCAGCCAATTCTGTGTTTTTTGTCCTGAGAGATACAATTGGAAACTACAATTTGTATTAAAGTGAGCTAAACAATAAAGTTGTTTTGGCATGAATGTGATATAGTGTGTGTGTGATGTAATATAAATGTAATATACCTTCTTTAGCATATCAGAGAACTTCTCACAGAAACCTGGGTGTTAAATGTTCCTGGTCTGGTCAGCTATTTCCTACCTCTATGGTTCTGGTCTGGTCAGCTGGTCAGCTACCTCCTACCTCTGTGATTTTGGTCTGGTCAGCTAACTCCTACCTCTGTGGTTGTGGTCACATATGACCGTGTCCTTGCCCTGACCCATGTGTCACTCTGCACCTGTGGCTTCACAGCCTTTGCTGCCATTATCTAAACTCTAGAGTGATGCGTTATCAAACTGTGGGAAGAGGAAGCCGCAGAATCCCACTAAAATAACTCGGGATTAGAGGACCAGTACGCCTGAGCGAGGCTCAGATTGCTACTGATGCGGAATGCTGAGAAAGACGCTGTAAATTCCGAGGGAGAAGGCTATTTGGTGGGAAAGAGCCGAGACAAATTTCTTTACCTTGGGACCAAGACATTCCTTTCCCAGGGATGCTTTGTGTTGGGAGATGAGGGCAAAGAAAAATAAGTTATGCCAACAACTGGACTGTTAGCTGGTCTATGGGAAATAATGGCACCGGATAGATCCTTGTCCCAGCATCCAAGCCTCGATCTGATGATCTTTGTTGGGAGCGGAGTGAAATTCCTGGGAAAGCTTGGTGCTTTCTCTCTTTCCAAACAGTTAAGTTCAAGGCAACAAGGCTTCAAATTCAAAGCAGAATCCCACCACAGAAGGCTAATGATTCGGACATTGTATTTGTTTTATGAGCACAGAGAACAAGAAGCTGTCTGTTTTTGAAAAACATGCACCAGTAATGTAAATTAATGAGAGAACACACTTACCATCCACTGTAGTGGTTTGCACTCACAACATCAAAGCTCTTAGATCTTTGTTGCTACCAGTGCAGGTGATTATGATGATACTTGACTTTAAGCACAACATTGTGTTTGATCCCTCTACCAACAGGTTCCTGAGAGATTCCTTGAGGTTTCTGAAATTACTCTTCAAGAGTTTTTCAGCGCCATTTCAACTGCTAAAGATTCTGACCCCTCTTGGAAGAAGGCAATCTACAAGGTAATCTGTAAGCTGGACAGTGATGTCCCAGATGAGTTCAAATCATCCACTTGCCTATAGACAGAGCAAGCAAAAGCCATGCTCAAGGAAGGAAGGACATTTTCAAGTCATGCAATGACAATAAGTGCTGATTTTAAGACGTTGCCAATGAATTGGATTTTAGTGAGGAAATTCTGGAAAAAAATATGATGTTATATATTACATATTATACGCTGCAGGAGCCTACTTATGGCACACACTTTTTACCGTCTCAGTCAACACATTATAACACTGCTTCAGCTCGCTCCTATGAGTTTTTGGTAACAGTTTACTTGACACCAAGTGTCATAACACGTTACCACACGGTTGTCATAATATGTCATAACAGCTGAAATAACCTGTCATAACCTGTCATAATATGGTCATAACACTGCAATGACCCATATATTTATACCTGTTGTGACATACACTACCAGTCAAACGTTTGGTCACACCTACTCATTCAAGGGTTTTTCTTTATTTTTACTATTTTTTACATTGTATAATAATAGTGAAGAAATAACACATATGGAATCATGTAGTAACCAAAAAAGTGTTAAACAAATCAAAATATATTGTATATTTGAGATTCTTCAAATAGCCACCCTTTGCCTTGATTGAGTGTCTTTGCACACTCTTGGCATTCTCTCAACCAGCTTCATGATGTAGTCACCTGGAATGCATTTCAATTAACAGGTGTGCCTTCTTAAAAGTTCATTTGTGGAATTTCTTTCCTTCTTAATGCGTTTGAGCCAATCAGTTGTGTTGTGACAAGGTAGCGGGGTATACAGAAGATAGCCCTATTTGGTAAAAGACCAAGTCCATATTATGGCAAGAACAGCTCAAATAAGCAAAGAGAAATGACAGTCCATCATTACTTTAAGACATGAAGGTCAGTCAATCCAGAACATTTCAAGAACTTTGAAAGTTTCTTCAAGTGCAGTCGCAAAAACCATCAATCGCTATGATGGAACTGGCTAACATGAAAACCGCCACAGGAATGGAAGACCCAGAGTTACCTCTGCTGCAGAGGATAAGTTCATTAGAGTTACCAGCCTCAGAAATTGCAGCCCAAATAAATGCTTCACAGAGTTCAAGTCACAGACACATCTCAACATCAACTGTTTACAGGGGACTGCGTGAATCAGGCCTTCATGGTCAAATTGCTGCAAAGAAACCACTACTAAAGGACACAAATAAGAAGAGACCTGCTTGGGCCAAGAAACACGAGCAATGGTCATTAGACTGGTGGAAATGTGTCCTTTGGTCTGGAGTCCAAATTGGAGATTTTTGGTTCCAACCGCCGTGTCTTTGTGAGACGCGGTGTGGGTGAACGGATGATCTCTGCATGTGTAGTTCCCACCGTAAAGCATGGAGGAGGAGGTGTTATGGTGTGGGGGTGCTTTGCTGGTGACACTGTCTGTGATTTATTTAGAATTCAAGGCACACTTAACCAGCATGGCTACCACAGCATTCTGCAGCGATACGCCATGCCATCTGGTTTGGGCTTAGTGGGACTATCATATGTTTTTCAACAGGACAATCACCCAACACACCTCCAGGCTGTGTAAGGGCTATTTGACCAAGAAGGAGAGTGATGGAGTGCTGCATCAGATGACCTGGCCTCCACAATCCCCCGACCTCAACCCAATTGAGATGGTTTGGGATGAGTCGGACGGCAGAGTGAAGGAAAAGCAGCCAACAAGTGCTCAGCATATGTGGGAACTCCTTCAAGACTGTTGGAAAAGCATTCCAGGTGAAGCTGGTTGAGCGAATGCCAAGAGTGTGCAAAGCTGTCATCAAGGCAAAGGGTGTCTATTTGAAGAATCTCAAATATAAAATATATTTTGATTTGTTTAACACTTTTTTGGTTCCTACATGATTCCATATGTGTTATTTCATAGTTTTGATGACTTCACTATTATTCTACAATGTAGAAAATAGTAAAAATAAAGAAAAACCCTTGAATGAGTAGGTGTGTCCAAACTTTTGACTGGTACTGTATATTGCGTTATTTTCTGGCTGGTTATGACACCTACATAATAGTGTCAAAACCTACCACATTTGTTTTTTCCCTGCCAAGAAGTATCCTTTCGTTTTAAAGTTTGTTTCTTAAATCCTTTGTTGTTGTTATGAGTTCTTTACAGTCATGTATTTTTAAAAATATTTTTCTAATAACTTCTAGGAAATATACTTTATGACACTGTCATGAAGTATTATGACCATCCTGTGTCACTTTACTTGGACTAAGAAAATACACTTTATAACACTGTCAAGAAGCATTATAACCATCATAATCATATAAGCCAGATAGGCCTATCACGTACATGCCCTTATATCAGTCATCAGTCAAAAAGAGGGTGTCTTGTCCTGCTCCTGAAATCTGCTCCTGCATTCATCCCAGTCATCATCAACAGAGCATTGGGGTAGGTGCATGTTTGACATCAATGTGTGCACAATTACAATGATAATTTAATATGGTCAATTAAAAATATATATATAGATATTTAACATAAACATACTGTTGACACGTAGGCTATGGTGTAATTGAATGTTTTGCCTTGTGTGGTAGGTTTTTGGGGTTTTGACACTCTTATGTAGGTGTCATAACCAGCCATAGAATAACTCAATATATGGCACAACAGGTCTAAATATATGTGTCATGACATTGTTATGACCAAATTATAACAGGTTATGACAAGTTATGTCAGCTGTTATGACATATGATAGGGTTATATAGTGGTCCTCTGTAGCTCAGCTGGTAGAGCACGGCGCTTGTAACGCCAGGGTAGTGGGTTCGATCCCCGGGACCACCCATACGTAAAAATGTTTGCACACATGACTGTAAGTCGCTTTGAATAAAAGCGTCTGCTAAATGGCATATTATTATTATATTATGACCAGGTGTCAAGTAAAGTGTTACCAAGTTTTTTTAAAGACTTAGCTGAGAGCAGATAGTATTACTGTGTCTTTGTGTAACCATATGGATTCAATTGATGCAAGATGTAGTTGAATGTTTGTAGATTTACTGATATTTAAATGCAGTGTGATATTTAAATGCATTCAATACTGTAGTGTGCTTGCTAGGTCTGGTAGACTTACAAGTGTTAAGATATTTGTACTTTTTATACATATTTTACTTATGCTTCCTCAATGGACATGCGGTTTTGGATGATTTAATTGTCTTTATAGGTGAGAGAAATATTCATTCGTATCAAGTGTTTTATGTAAATGTAAATACGCTAGAATTACATTTGGATACTCTAAAGTGTTTAAGGCCCACATATATTAACCTAATAACATGTAAACGGCAGGTAGCTTAGTGGTTAAGAGCGTTGTGCCAGTAACCGAAAGGTCGCTGGTTCTAATCCCCGAGCCGACTAGGTGAAAAAACCTGTCGATGTGCAAGGCACTTAACCCTAATTGCTCCTGTAAGTCGCTCTGGATAAGAGCGTCTGCCAAATGACCAATTTAAATATTGCAAATGAAGAGAAAATCACATGTACAAAAAAAGCTATGTTTGTTTTGTGCCTATTACTATAGTCTATGGTCTACTGTCAACTTACTTCCATAGACATCATATTTTGAGTGGTTATTTGAAAGTCCAGTTGATAGAATAAAGCTGCACTAAAACTTCATCTTGGGATGTCTTGTTTTGTTATAACTGATTGTAAGTCGCTCTGGGTGAGTGTCTATTAAAATTACTTAAATGTAAACAAGCACAATTTTATTTTATTGAATTATTTCACCATTAATTTCAGGCCTCACAAACATTTAGTAAATATAATTTATATTTTTAATACTAATGTTTCCAACAACCCATAGAAAGTATTATGCCTAAATTCTGAGCCACTAAGGTGCCTCTAATCCATGTCATAAAGACAGCTGTTCAAAGTCCTACAAACTATGTTGCTCACATTGTTCACTGAAGCCAATACAAGTCGACTTTCTAAGGCCTGCATTCATTCTGCGGGCAGCGCGGATGCGAACAACTGCCATGTCTTAAAAACAGACACAATGCATTCCCTCCTAATGAGTAATGCCCAATGTGACCTCATATCAGAGTTGTGCCACCAAAGCAAAATTCCACAAACCCGTTGACTTTTTCTTCCAGGCACCGGCCCGCTCAAAGCGTGTTAATCACTTTACAAACCCACACACGCTCACACACACACATACACACACTATGACACCACAACTATGAATGGCGTGGTTCCTCTCCCTGTTATCTGATAGAGAGCCGCCTGCAGTTAGCTCAATGCAAGCCTTTCAACTTCAAACCTGACATGATATTCAGCCATGATGATTGATTATAAATCTATCAAAAGACTATCAATAAAATATCCTTAAATGTATGAATAAACATGCTGTAGCTACAGCTTTGACTTCTTATAAACATAAATTAATAGAAAGGAAAAGGAAATACAAAAGGAGACTGTGAGAGTTGAAGCTTTTCATTAAAGTAGACTGTTTCATGTTAATGTGTTAAATTATTTAGACAATTCACAAAACAAACATTGAATTGGAAAACCTGCTAGGCACCCAAGCACCAATTACATCTGAAATGACAACGTTAAAGAAATTAAAACATTAGTTTCATTAGCTTCATGAGGAGGAGTGGAGAATACCAACCTAGGTAATCATTTAATAGACATTTCTTTTCAATTAGATCATCTTCCTCTGTAAATTTATTTAAAATGTCAACTAAATTAAAAATCCACCGGTTGAACCAAAGTGCTTTGTTCAAATCAATTTGTTTTGACATTTTCAGTACAAGACTTGGTAATGTCTGATATGATCAAAGAAAACAAAAATAATTGTCTCAAATGTCCAACTGCCCCCAGGGTTTACAATGCTAAAGCTCCCATTGTGACAACATAGAAATAGGAAGGTAAAGAGGTCAATTGAACTCCACCAAAACAATGGAATTGCCATGGAAACGCGTGGGGGAAAGGGGTGTAGGGGAAAGATCCTGAATCGTCTCATTGCCCCCCAGCAAAATTAGCCTACATTTAGGCTACAGTTTATATGTGTATTTCACA